ATAGTTGGGAGCTTGTAAAAACGAAAGATCAGTCCACAACTGAGAAAAACCGCATGCTGTGACATTCAGAAGTGCTACAAATGACTGAAACTCCCTCTAATTAATGTTTGTCAACACTGAGTTGCCAAGTATTGTGTTTGCCTGGTTTAGTTGTTGCCAGTTCCTGGCCTATATGTATATCATATGGCTGGGTGCCTTGTTCTTTTTAGGTGTGTGCTCTGGGCACTTGGCTTACATGTTCTGGTAGTCAGGCTCAAATGCTCTAGCTGGAATGGTTTTTTGCCATGCTTAGCTGGACAGTGGTGGGAGGGGAATAGCCTTTTTGTCCATATATGTGTGTGTTCCCCAGGCCTGTGTAATTGTCTAAGTGTAGTTACAGGATGAGAGCTATGGTTGAGATGTCCCATTTTCCTAGTATGTTTTGTCATATGATGCGTTGATGGTTTGTGGCATCCTCTTAACGTGTTCCAACCATCTACCACTGTGTTTACAAAAAAGAACTTTCCAAGTTTTTTCAGTAGATTTGTTTCTTTAACTTGAGTTTTTGACCTCTTGTTCTTGAAGATGCAGGTTTTAGGAATTCTTTTCCAATTCCTGTTACTATTTTGCATGTAATGATCAAATCATTTATTTTTCTTGTATCTTCTAGCTTTAGTATATTTAACACTTTTAGCCTTTCCTTATAGCACCTGTTTTTCAGTTCTGGAAACCATTTAGTTACATGTCTTTGTTCCTTTACGAGTTTATTGATTTGCTGCTTGTGATCTGGGCACCATAGGGCACAAACAATTTCTTTAATATTTTGCCATCCATGTACAATATTTAAAAGTGATTCTGAAGTTGGAAAGTATAGCATAAGCTTTCTATCTAGAACCACCCCTAGATCTTTTTCTTTATCAAAGTTCTTTAAGGCATTTTCACATAATTTGTATATTGTGTTTGGCTTATTTTCTCCTATAACACATATCATAACCTGTCAGTTAATCATATTAAAATCCATAAGCCAAATGTTGCTCCATACGTTTTATTTTGTCAAGGTCATCTTGAAGGTCCTGATAATTGTCTTTTTCTTATTTTCAACAAACATGTTCATATAATTTTGAATTACATCTAGTTGCTTGTTCATATAGAAAATGAACATGACTGGGGCTTGAACTGAACCCTGTGGTATACTACTAGTAAAATTTCTCCAGGCACTTGTCTCCATGGGCCGAAAGACAGACCAGTGCCCTGAGGGTGGTGAATGCCACATGCATGGGAAGTTTACCATGGCAACACTCAGAAAGTGACATTTAATTGCAATTTACATCCTTCTTGTATTCTAAAGAAAACTATTATTTTAACTTTATTATATTAAAAGTTTGTTATTATTTTGCTCTCACACAACTTAAGTTGCTTTTCTGGGAGGGCCCCCTTCAGTAGCTTCTGAAGGCTTGGCTATACCGACACTTAAACTTAAGCTCCAGGGAGTTCCTGAAGGCCCACCAGAATAGAATGTTTAATTATATTCAACACTTGAATTTCCTTTTTTTCTTTTTTTTTCTTTTTAAACTGGGATGTTTCTCAACCAATTTTCTTCCTCAGGTACCAGGTATTAACTTACCTATGAAGGAGTTACCATACTACTTTCTGACTTTGTTAATTGCATCAGTCATCCATGAAGCTGGACATGCTATCGCTGCAGTCAAGTAAGTCCATACAGTAGTTTCAGATAAGCTCTGCACCATATTCTGTATTCAATAATTTTTGTATTATTAGGCAACTTGTGAATACTGTACCTTCATGAAACTGATTTTAATTAGGTATCTCCACTAGCAATATCCTATGGCTTTTACTTAATTAGTTTTATTCTATAAAAATCTATTTCCATGACATGTCAAGAATGCTGATGCATATCATCTTAAAATTTTTAAGACTTTTTAATACTCGGGTGTGAAGGAGAGATATCAGTGAGGCCTACCTTGAAATTTTAATATGTAGTTGCAGCAAAGTTAATATTTCATGCTGATGACCATGAGTGGCAGCCCAGGAAATATGAAGATATAGAGAATTAAAAAAAAAAAAGATATAAATATTTGAACGCAAGTAAATAATTTGGACACGTAAATTAATATTGTACCGATATTCAAGACTATAGCAGTGATTACAATAAAGGTAGCCACTGTTAAGACAACACAAAAGAGATTGATTTTGCTGGTTTTAACAAGGAAAATGTTAGGATGAGTAGAAAGTAGTCTACTCTTACTTTGAGTACGAGTAGACTTTACTACTAGTAGACTTACTACTTTGAGTAGTAGACTTACTACTTTCTACTCTTACTTGAGTAGAAAGGAAAGAGCTCTAGAAGTAGAAAACCATGCTTGGAGTCAGGATGTTGATTTGCTAAATAACAAATTAGCTAATCATTGCTGATTAAAAAATGCCGAACATCAAGGCACACAAATACATTTGTGTCACTGATATGCACACAATATTATACAGTGGTACCTTGGTTTTCGAATTTAATTTATTCCTAGAGACTTCTGGTAACCTTCTGAGGAACAACCGGGGACTTCTGAAAACTCGCAAACCAAAATGAATTTTCTCATAAGAAATAATGTAAATTGAATTAATCCTTTTCAAACTCCCAAAAATATTAACTTCAAAATACATTTCATACATAATACAGTACACACAAATATTTTGTACAGTAGTATGTACAAGTTATAGCTTACCTTTATTGATGACTCTTTTTGGCCTGTGGAAGCCGGTGAGGAGGGGGGAGAAGGAGAGGTGTTAGTGTTTGGAAGGGAGTCCCCTTCCATTATAACATCAGGCACTGATGACTTTCTGGGGTATACTCTCTCCTACATTTTGCAGGCATACCACTAAGACCTGGTTGTGGCTCACTGCTTGCTTGTCTTACTAAGAATCTGTCCAATGACAATTGTTTTCCCCTACATTTCAACACTTGTCTGTAGTAAGACACCACATTGTTATTAAAAAGATCAATGCAACGGCCTGCTACAGCTTTATCTGGGATGAGTTTTTTCATCAAAACTTTGCAGTTCTTCCCATACTTCACACATTTTCTTAATGAGGAAGGGACATCCTCTACTGCCTCTACTCAACTTAGGTTGAACCTTACCAATGACTTTCTTGGGACCCATGGCATGGTATATAATAATTACTTTAATGTTTAGAAACCAAAAAAAGCTGAAAAAATGAAGTTCTTTACAAAGAATTCAAGCATAATTGTCACTAGGCAGGAGGCACTGGTAAACTGAAGCGCAGTTGCCCGTGCCACTAGGAACCACGTGCTTGGTCAACCCATACATATATCAACAAACTCGCAAAGTGAGTCAAAGTTCGTAAACCGATTTGAATTTTACAAAGATATTGAGCTCGTAACCCAAAAAATTTGTAAAGAGGGGGACTTTTGGTAACCATGATTTCACTGTATATGATAACCGCATTCACCTATAATGTTACCACAAAATTATAGCAAGATTTTTTCATGGGTCAAGTTAAAACTCCATTACACCTACAGAGAGCTGTTATATACTTATTTGCATCATACATATAAAACCCAGACAATAAATATGACTTAAATCGTCATATGACAATAACCGCATATCCACTGTCTGTGGATGCTGTACGATCTAGTGTACATATGCCAGTATGGCATCAGTACTCTACTGTGTGTGTGTTTGTGTTCCTGTCTACCTGAATTGTGACCCAAATGAGTCACAGAGGGTCATTATATGTTTGGGAGTTGCAGCTTAAATTTTCTCAGAAAATGACTTTTCACAAGCTCAAAATATAATTTTGTAAATAGGTATTTATTTTCAGAGAGGACGTTCATGTGAATGGTCTTGGATTTCTTTTAATGTTTATTCTGCCTGGAGCCTACGTGGATGTTCCAACAGAAGAGATTCGAACCCTCACTCCATTTAGACAGCTAAAGGTAAGGACCTCTTGATGCCTATTTACCAGTGAAGTCATTCTACGTTGATGCTTAAACCGGGACCTCTTTCTGGGCTGGTCCTTTCAGTAGCTTCCCTCAGCTTATTGCACTGGCACTCTAGGGCCACTCTTGATACGATAGACACGAACACGGCGAACTTAGCTCTCTTCCTGTAACCACACTTAGGTGTGGTTACACACCTAAGTGTGGCGGGACGTTGGAATGTGATGTGAGCACGTTGGCGGGACGTGCTCCAGAGAAATGCCAGTAGGGTAAGGCTTATAGTTTTGAGCCTGCTAACAGGAGTTAGAAGTCATTTAGTTGGAGGGGAGGGGGGGGTGTTTGGCTAGACTAAAACTGAGGTGTCCTACCTAGCCTTCTAGTTGGTAGGGTTGCCAGCTTGTGGCAGCTGGGTTAGTCAGATAGCAATGCTTTGCTAGAGTCGGAAGATTGTTTGCCAGCTGAGTGTTGCCAAAAAGTCATTGTAAAGAAGCTTGAGTGTTTTGTAATATTTGTTTGTGTTATATCATGAAACTTGTCTAGGTTGTGTTACTGATCTCTGATAAATCACACATCCAGTGGGTAAGTAAGTCATCTAGTGCATTACGTGATCAGTGTCCTGGAGATGTTCAGTGCCACTAGGTAGGGGAGCTATAGAGGTACTGTCCTGAAAGGAGCATTTCCATTGTACTTACTGCTCTAAGTTTTTTATTTCCTTATGCACATACAAAATGCTTATTAAGTACAGTACTGTATATTGATTATACTGTACATATAAATGATAAAAGAATGAAATAAAATAAAATAAAATACTTTATTGTTAAATGTTACCTTTATATGGTTGAATAATGATCATTTCCTTCTTTCAATAATTTCAGATATTGTGTGCAGGCGTTTGGCACAATATTGTTCTTGTGGTGCTGGCCTTCGGCATTGGTCTGTCAACACCATTTATACTTCAGCCTTTGTACATCCATGGTCATGGTTTGACCGTCATGCAGTTATCACAGGTTAAACAAGTTTTTATGCTGTATATTGTTATTTGTTATTTTAGTCAGTCACCGTACAGGTATTATAATTCCTGTTGTCGGGGACAGGTTTATTAAGGTCACCCTAGGTCAGATACTGATCTTTAAGATGTCCCCCCCTTCCCCCACAACAGTTGCTTAACTCTTGGGTGCCTGTTTACTGCTTGGTGAGCAAACATCAAGTGAAAAGGATCATTTCTGTTCCACACGGGAATTGAAATTGGGATCGTCGATTGTGAGTCAAGAACATAGACTGATGGACTGCAAAACCGATAAATTTCATGCAATTAAAACATGAATAGATTGAGTATAAATAGGTGGTTAACAATAAAAAATTGTGAAAGCTTTTGAAAGTAGATTATATTTAGATAAATATTTATTTAAAAATGATTTAGGTAAACATTAGTTTGTTGACTTGTAGATGGGTGAACCAGTCGGTCAAGTGCATGCTTATAACTTTGTTAACATGAGTACCACATTGTAAAGTTTTTTTAATAGATTGGGCAGATATGAGGGTGAGAGTAGTTAGGTGTAAATTAGACTTGCTTCAAATAGGCCAGTGGACCACCTCCACTGTTTTTATGTTCTAGACTACATTACTGTATTCAATTTGAAATGATCTAATAAATTATCTAGATAATTTTATTTTTTAAAGATGTAGTTTGCATTTATTATTTGCAATTATTTTATTGATGTTACTAATGATTTTATTCATCTACTCTATGTAATATTTGAAGGAATTAATAGGGGAAGGTTTTAAAGATAGCTGTTGGAATACAATAGATCTATTGTACCAGGTAAGAAAATTTACTTGGCACAACGACAGTCACTGAAAATGAAAAATTAGTCACTGAAAGTGCATTGTGGAATCTTGGCATTAAATTTGGTAAGGAAAAGTTGACCAAAAATGTAAAATCAATAAAAAAAAAAAATGGGAAATCCATCAACTCTTTCCAGAATGTTGCTTTTATGAACTCCTGAAGCCAATGCATCTTTTACTTCAATAATTATTGACACCATCTTTTGTTTACAGGACTCTCCTGCTCGAGGACCCACAGGTCTGGAAGTTGGGGATGTGATCACAACAATCAACAGGTGGACAGTTGCAAGTGTTGGTGACTTTCAGCAGTATCTTGTGACAACCATCAACTCTGATCAGATGGGCTTCTGTGTCCCAGAATCTGTCGTTCATACGTATGACGAAACAATTCATCATGGTAAGTTGGATTTACTGGCTAATAGGTGTACTGCATCATGTCTTGAGTTGGGTTCAGTAAAAAGTAATTTATTCTCATGGTGATTTAACACTAATCAGAGGATGGAGCAAGAAGGATTGGAAGAATAAACTGAGAATGTTAGGATGACATGCAATTTACATTAGAAATAACAATTATTTCTAACCCAAAAGCTTGGTTTTTGAATTTAGGACATTATAAATCACTGAAAGCAATAACAGTTAGTGACAGTTCGGCATAACTTGATGGCTGGTTGAGATGCAATAATTTCACTGGGCTGCTAATAACAAACTAATCATATGATTGCATGGAGGGGGGGAGAGGGAATGTCTACTTTTCCAGTAGAAATGGAAATCTGTAAATGTAAGCTACCATTTGGCTACTCTCTAAAAGCAAGCTTCCACTGTGAAATTCGACATGGTTATTTTCCAGTCATGTGGAACGTTATGCTGTCATTGTGAAAGAAACAATTTAAATCTCCACAATATGGTTATAACATGTGCTAGGAAGACATTGTTGAACTAATCGATTTAGCTGAGAATGACTGACAGAAATCTTTTCTTGTAAGCTCAGAGCCCTTCTGAGCTCTCTCTTGGCAACAGTGGATTAATGGTTTCCAAATGAGGATTCTTGCTAACTACCGGTTGACCTGATTGGTTAAACCATGCCAGTTGCCCCCAGAATTCAGTACTGTGAGTTCCTTTATATGAGCCACCTTGTGTGCTCCCTGACAGTTGGCCTTGCTGGTTAATCCATGCCAGTCGCCCCCAGAATTTAGCACTGTGGTGTTTTTTCTTTATGTGAGCCACCTTGTGAACTTTCTGGCTGTTGTTAAAATTTCAGTTGGAAGGACAGGACTAGATATTAACTTAGGTTTGACTTGCTTTCATTCATTAATCATAGTTTCTGATATGCCTTAGGCCATTTTCATAGATTCATCATTCAATCTTCATACTAGAATACATTACATATTGAAACACTTCTTGTGTGTTTACAAGTACTTAAATACTTGTACTTCTTTCAGGTCTCTGTTTTCATTTCAGTGCTTGTGTATACAGCTGTTGCTTAGCACTGTGAACCTGTACCATTTCATTCATGATCCTTTGAAACTTAGCCCCACGAATGCAAGTGGTTATTGCTGTGCTCTGGGTCCATTCCACTATTACCTCACCTGTGTGTGTGTGTGTGTGTGGACCATTCAGTAGATCTACCAGGTCATGCATAGGCAAAGTGGTTGTGGCCATGAGTTTTTAAGTTCATGTTTAGTAGCCACTCACTCACCTTTCTTTGTCTTGTGCTTTGACAGAGTTAGGTAAATGTTTGCAGAGTAAACTGTATTGCAGAAGGTAATCTGTATTGCAGAGCAATCTAGGCACCTTAGCACCTAGGCGTTTTCCTCAAACTTTTGTCAGGGACGGAGTATCTTGGAACCTGATGTAGGTCCTATTAGACCTGTTGTGAATTTAAGTATTTGGAAGTCAGGGAAAGCAACTTTATGACATGTACAAATGCAGTTTAGACATTTGTCTTGTTATATGGACCTTCTTTGTCAAATACTAAATATAATTGTATAAATTATGTGTATTATAAAAAGGCCTCCTTGTGCATGGTAGTTTGTCAGAGCACCCAAATGACTTACATGCTGCACCAGAGGCTTGTCAGGTTTCCAGTCAGGGAAAATTATCACTTCATATCAGCCCTATCACTTACCAATTTTGTCTTCTACATTCTCCTTATAAGCTCAGAATTGGTTTCAATTTTGATTTTGTTACTTAAGTCAAAATTGAAGGTCCACCCTGTTAAACCTGGCATCGAGGTGAGTGGCTTCATATTCCTCTTAAACGAAGATCTGGCTCATGTTGTTGACTCAACATCTGTGTTTACACTTGAGGGCATGAAAGGTATTGTTCACAGTTCTATCCTTAGCATTTTGGTGGACTGAGCTTTGACTCCAGTGTTGCCTACCAAGTGCTTGGAAACCCGTTCTTTCCAATGGCTGTGAGTCCTCCCATGCCCAGATGCTGGCAAGTGTTGGGATGGAGCCTGTGGGTGCTTCATTTATCTTCAAACAGTTTTGCATTTTTTCTGACTTCTGCCAGGTTTCTTGGCTCCTACCTCCTGCAGTTAAGTGGTTCCTTTGCTTATTCTGAAAGTAGTGAAGAGAAGGGGCCTTCAGAGCCTTACCTTTTTTGCACTTGATTTGAGGAAGTTTACAACCTCAATATTTCTCATTTTCTCTCATGCCCTGCTTAGGGATCAGAGTATTTCATTTCTGAAGGAATAAGCACATGTTTGTGAAGCCACTACCCATCAAGATTCTTAGCCGAAGTTGGCAGTGTGTTGCTATAGGCTAACTTGGTGCTCTGAGTCATTCTGAGCCTTCCTTGATGGGGGATATGCTGGTGCCCCTATCACTTGGTTCCACTGCGCTGAGTGGTGTGTTCTTCATCTTATAGCATGTGTCCTATAGCATGTGTCACATGCTATAGTATGTGTCCTATAGCATGTGTCACTGTCTTCTGTGTCACAGGTGAGTTTTCCCATGTTTTTAATTTATTCTTCCATTCAGTATTCTTATTCTAGGGGTCAGCCAAATGAGATATCTCATAAATAAGGCTTTGAGAGTCACTTTTCTGAGCACATCATTTGGTAAATCCTAGTTTCTCCTTTCCTGCCCAATTTTTTCTGTGTGTAGCTTGTATTGATGATACTTTTTGGGTATATTAGTATGTTGGGAGGTTCAGAGTCAGGGAACCCAAAAGTTTGTGAATTAATTATCAAAACAAGGCATCAAGCCAGAAACAGACTATGTAGCACCGAGAGGTTCACATAGTATTACCTCCTAGTGGTCAACAGTAGTTAGGAATCTTCTTTTGCCAAGCATTAATGCAATGTTGCCAAGGGAAGGTTCAGAAGGATTGAGAACTTATATGTATTGACCTCTGTCAGTCTGAGCTGAATAAATTTATTCTCCAGTGCATACCTGGCACCTGTTCTGACCCTAAATAGAAGACATAAAAAAAGTCGCTGAGATACCAGTACTGTTATGTCATTGTGCCTGATTATTGTGACAATGACCAATGACTGACATTGTGCTAGAGTCAGGTTAAATGTGAGGTGGGATGTTACTTGTTACTTTGTTGACATTGTAGGTGCTAACACTTGGTATTAGTCTGAGGCAGGGGCTTGGCAGTCAGCTATAATTAGCAGAATAGTACTTAATGGTTTCTGAGGCTGAGTAGAACTTCGAGGAAATTTTTTAGTGTAGATGAATGGGCCAACTGGAGGTCATTCTGGGCTGAATTGAAAAATCTCTAGTGTCATCTTTTTTCAAGATGGCGGATGATCACTGGGGCCCCCCAGGCATACATTTTGTACCCGCGTCACCGCGCGCCAGTTTTGAATGGAACGCTAAAAATATAAAACCCTGGAGGCGCGTTGTGCAGTTTAGTGGTTAAGGCAAAATCTATATTATATAAAAAGCATTTATTTTGTCTTAATTTACGAAGAGCTGTCATCACACTTTTAAATTATCCATTTATTGCTATTCCAGCATGTTAGACAAACCTAAAATCTTTATGATTTTCTTCAATAGTCGATAAAGATTTTGTTACTTGTGTGCTCACAGAGAGCCAGCACTGAAAGAATATTCATGATGAGTATTGATGGTACATTTTCTAGTCTTCGAGGATGTTGTCTCCTTTCTTAATTGGTTGAGTCATATTAGCATGTATCAGTGTTATCTAGTAATTAAACCTTAATTGAAGATGTTTGGGTTTTTGGCTTTGCATGCACAATGCAAACTTTCCACTTACCCTTCTTTCAGAAAGGTATTTGAAGGAAATGCTTTGTTTTCTGACACATTAAATGACATAACTTGCATCGATTAAATCACAATTGAAATGCTCATGTGTCATGTTGAAATATTATGGTGAATATTTTTATTAGTCTGGTTTTTAATTACCATCGAGGCACTTTTGATTTATTTGTTAAAGCTATACAATTTTGTTTCCATTAAAACACGTCTGTTGTTGCAGAGGCAGCTTCCGATTCCTTCTTTGGTCACTTACCCAGGTTATATTCTAGAAATAAAGGTAAGATTTAAGGTGGAAAATCCTAGGATAGTGTCATGATTTAGAAAATGGTAAAAGTAACATTTGGAATTTGATAATGCCATTTGATAAAGGATCAATGTTATATATTGTTAGATATCCTCTGTAGTATTGAATGCAGTATCATCCCGCTACTTGTTTTATTATTTTGGTTGTTAGTGAAATGTGTTTGAGAAGCAGCTTTTGTTTATAGTAAACTGAGGGAATGAGGAGCTCAACCACTGTTCAGTACTATTATTCTGGGTATTTTGCCACCATTTAGAATGATGATAATGAAAGCTGTAGTTACCATACCAAGATGCTTTGCATGAATTAGCATTGAGTCAATCAACAGAATTAATGAGAATATTTTTGAGCAGTGCAGTAGGACCGAACTAACATATCTGGCCTCTTTAGACATGCTCACTACCGACTCACCCGATAGTGCATGTGAGTTCAGCCATACTGTGTTGCTGCAAAATTTTCTCATTAATACATCACATTATTGTGATGTCTGTTTGCAAAACAAAATTACTTTGATGAGATATGCACATTGGAAATTTGGTAACATGGATGAGCTGAAAGTGGTAGATAAATAAATTAAAATACAAGCAATAGTCTATTTTTAACAAGGTGGGAATGGAAAATAAAAGGATTGGAAAGCAAGTGACCTAATATTGAAGTCACGATTAGTATCATCAAGTTTGGAGATGCCACAAAATCTTGGGCGTATGATGAATACAAAGAAAGACTGATGAATTGTGACGAGACTTATACAGACTCCAGTGTTGGGCATAAAAATGGCAAATCCAGTTTAATGTGGATTAATGAACATTCCTTAACTTGGAAAAAAGACAGTGATGGTTATATACCACATCAATAACACGATCATGGATTGGTCATTTTGTGAAAGAGACTTTTAGAGACATTTTGCATCAAAGCACAAAATAAAGTAAACAAATTGCAGGGGTTTATAATAAGGAGCATATCTGGCAATGGTAAAACCACACTTAAACATTGTTATGCCATGTTGGTTACTGTACTACAGAATGTACATGCAGAATGATATAGTTCTTTAGGTTTCCTAGATAAAATACTGAGATGGATGACAAGCTGATTCCTGTTATTGGGGACCTTTTCTCTGCAGACAGTTTGACATTTCTGCAATTGCTAGATAGATGCAGGTCAAGGGTTGTGGGGACATAATTGAAAGCTTCTGGAGGGTTAGCTGCATAAACAAGAGGATACAAAATATGGTCCTGAAAGTCTCAGGACAGGTCAGAACTCACAATAAAAGTGACAAAATGGATAAATTTTTGCTTTAATTGATTTTATTGGGGGGACAGGAAGCTTGCACTGAGGTTCCCAAAAGGTTGAACTGATGACCCTTTCCAGTATGCATCCACTGACAACAATTGCCTGATTCCTGGGTACCTATTTACTGCTTGGTGAACATAGACATTAAATGCAAGGAAATGTGCTCAACCATTTCTGTCCCGCCCAGGAATTGAATTCAGGATTCCCAATTGTGAGTTGAGAACAAAGCCAACTTACTATCAGAGGATGTATAGGGAAGTACAGTACTACCAGGGGGGGGATATATAAGGAAGTACTACTAGGGGGATATATAGGGATGTACCTTACTACCAGAGGGTATATAGGGAAATACTACCAGAAGGGGGGATTATAGGGAAGTACTACCAGAAGGGGGGATTATAGGGAAGTACTACCAAGGGGTATATATGGATGTACTAGTTTAGAAATAGGGTTTAGGTGAGTGGAATGCACTGCCAGCTAGCATTATTGAGATAAACAACTGAACAAATTTTAAGAATTGATAAGACAGGTATATACATTAGAGGGGGGGGTATATTTAAGTGGAACCCACCTGATGTAGGCAAGCGGGCCAGCAGCGGTACTGCCTAATTCTAAAGTTTTATATTCTTATGTTACCTGGGAAATAGAAGTAAGTTAAGGTACTAGAAGTCACTGCATACAGGTGTGGTTTCAGTTCATTCGTCGGTATGTGATGTTAAACTATTAAGTTTTTATAAGCACGGTGATACAAAATGAAAGTTATGTAAACCGTGTTAGCTATATTGCTTCTGGCTTTGGTGAGAGTAATAGAGTTAATGAGCTCCATTCTATTTTGTTTGGATTAAAGGAGGTTCTTCTTTTATGGTTTGGGTGATAGTGTTTTTAGGATTCACCTGAATTCTCAGTTTCTTTCCAAAAATGAGACTAAGAAGTTCTTTTTCACTATTCATATTAAAGCCTGGATCTTATCTTTTGACACATATCAGTGTTATTTAAATACTTCCAAGCATTCCACAACTAAGAAACGTCTCAGCTCCTGCTTCATGGTTCAGTTATCCCAGCTGCTTTGATTCCCAATAAAATTAAGCATTTATGTGCTTATCTTTGAGCTTTTGACCTGCAAAATGTCTCGGCATCCCAAGTGTTTGTTTATATTTTGATTTATAAGATTCAGTCCAGAGGATTAAGGAAATTGGAACACATGCTTTATGCCCAGTACATATTTCTCTAAGCTGCCACATTTACACTGTTGCTAAATACCTTCAGTCAATATCTCGTAATTGCAATCCTAAGTGTACGAAGCTGTCTATGTGAGTTTATTCTGCAACCCAGTCATGTTTCTCCTGGACATTTGGCTTGCTGACCAGATGCTTGCAGTGTAGACAAGTATCACTCCTTTTTTATTTTTCCTATATGCTTGTTATACCTGTGGGAGTGATGCAATGACTAGCTCAGAAATATTGTTTGAGCTTTTAAAAATTGCCTTTGAGTGTTATTCTATTGTTCTGCAACTCATTACTATCGTTGAAAGTGATAGTAGGTCAAGTTTCGACTGGATGAGGATTCTCTAGAATTTTCATTGGCATCTTTGAGTGACATCACCGGAAATTTGTATTCACCGAGTTTGTGAACAGATTGTTGGGCCTTGATTTATTCCAGTGCTGGATGAACTCTGTCTCCAAAGACTCCTAAGTATCTTATTAAACCCTGAAGTAATGCTGTTTATTTACCCTGTGGCATCACTACTATATGTCCTCCATCCTGACTGAAGTTGCATACTTTCTTGGCATGCAGACTGAGAATACCTCTGCAAGTGACAGAATAGAATGCTCAGAAAGTAGCATCTTGCAAGCTCGTATCATATTTTTGTATAACCTCTCACAATACAATAACAATATTGGATTAAAGTCACTGTATCTGATCATCTGATTCAAAGTTATACTGTTAATGTCATTTATTACTCCTGTTGTCATTTATTTAAAGGATAAAACATGAAGCAAGAGAAGTTTACAAATTTATGATCCCTCTATAGTTATATGGAGAAACAAGATGCTGATGGAATAGTTTTTTTACTTACAATAAAAATGAAAAATGTAATGAGACTGATATTGAGCAATTAGCCATTAATATATTGTACAATTTTTAATTTCCAGCTTTTGAAGGTGCTGATGGGTCAGTGCAGTGCTGCAGTGGAGACAGTGATGCCCACTTGTGCTTTGAGTTGAAGGAGGACAGAGAATTTGATACAGGAGTGGCAGCAATGCAGCCGTTTTCATGTTTGCCAGCACGCATGGCTGTCTCTATGAGGTCAGTGATCACAATACAGTACAATATAATGATTTTAAAATGTTTGCTGTCTCATGATGTATCATATTTTGTTCTGTATTGTACAGGTATATTGAAAAGATACTGATATTTTTTGTGTAGTAGAAACTGACAAGGAAAACTGCTGTAATAAACAGGATGTTTCAGGAAGTACTGTAGACTATAATATATTTACAATATCTTGATAATTTTATGATTCATTGCTTCTTTAGGAAATGAGATAGGTTCACCTTTATAATCTTCACACATTTCAGCCATCTTGTGTGGGATGCTCGGACTGCTTCCTTGTCTCTTCCTCTGGCGGCTCCGCTTCACCTGCATTCTTACCTTTGTCTGTTCCTGAGGGGCTCTTGGGTCATGCCGCAGTTGCTTGAGGGTTTGTACTTGAGCCTGAACTTTGCCATGATGGTCTACCCGCTGGGTCGGGCGTGGCTTTGTCGGCTATTCTGGTTCCTTTGGGGATGTCCCTTCCGCCTCTTGCGACCACTGGGTTTGGCCTCCGGGTGCTTTGCGCTAGTTGCTGCGTTGCCGGCTTCCTCTTCGGATTTTTCGAGGTTCAGTGTCTTGGCGCCTACCCGAGCTCTCGCTCGATGTGTTCACAGACGTGTTGTCTCTGGGCTGGAGCATTGTGACCAGTGCAGGTCAGGCCGGCCTGGGATAGTGGGGTCCGTCCTTCCGTCAGGCTCACAGCATGGTGCGGGAATTCGTGGCTGTGTGGATGTCGCTCCAGAGGGTTCAGGTCACTAGTGGATCGATGATCCGGCTCCATTCGGACTGTTCCCCAGTGATTCATTGCCAGAACCAAGTGGGTTCCATGCAGTCCTTGGCTCTTTGGGGCTGGTCGCTTTGGGTGACTCGTCTGCTGAGTTCTCGTAGGTTGATAAAAGTCTTCAATGCCAAATACTTGGGGAATACCCTGAAGTGTCAATGCCTAAAGCTCCAGGGGGGGGGGGCTACTAGGTATTGTATTCAAAGTAACATTTTACCGTACAGTACAATGATACATCACAAGGAGGCCATTACGCCTAGTCTGATTAAGTAGTGGGGTGCTACTGCAGATGATGTTGCTGGATCATGATGTGCTAGTTTTCAATGATGCTGTGTAGTATGTAATATACAGTGAATGGATGCATACCATTTTGTAATATCTTTTGCTTACTTTTCATATTATGTTTCTATATCTTCAGATTGTTTCCTACTTTACCCCGAGGAAAATTAAAACTGGGGTAATAATTATGATTATTTCAAAATATAATCCATAAATCTTTATGATGTAATCAACAAGTAGTATTATTAATATTTATTATATATCTTTTTCAGCACGAAGACTTGTATTAATTCTCTTACCTGCCCTACTGACACTCATTGCTTGGCACCATCTTTAAAAAATGCCTCGAGGCTTCTGCAGATCAGCAGGCGAGGAAGCAATGGAGAACGTAAGGATGATGTACTCTATTTGGGGCCACCTGCTTTCTTATACCATACAGTGACATTGACTAGTTATATCCCCAAATTTTCTTTCCTTTCTCTCAGTTGGCCCAACACAGTTGAAATTTACTGTGATTACATGGTCCAGTTCTCGGGTGCTTTAGCAGTTCTTAACATGGTGCCCGTCGTGTATCTGGATGGTTACTGGATTTTTGGTGCGATTATTGATCTGTTTCTGGCTTCTCGGTGTGATCAAGTGACACGAAGAATTACTCATATAATTATTACGATGATTGGAACACTTTTGCTTTTTTTAAACATCGTAATTGGTGTTTGGAGCATCATTTGAAAAAAAAAAAAAAGGCTCAAAGTGTGATCTCTGGTACATACTGTATTGTTATAGAATGTTCTTCTATAGGCCACTTCCAGTTGTGTGTGAACAAAACCTTAATGTATTTTTACATATGGTATGTTTGTATTAAGATTTGATGTAGGTCTTTTTTAATTCAAGACAGCACATAAAACTGTTCAGTATATGTAAATATTTATATAATGAATTTATGCTGCCTGCCATTTTATTTCACTGTGGTGGATACTTTGTCCTTGGGAAAATTCAACACGACAACTGATAAGCACAAGCTTTAATACAGAGGAAAATATATTGCAGAAAAGTTGTTTGTCTTAAAAGGTGTAATTTTCTTTCATATTCATCAACTAAGCCGGGTGGCAGGACTTAAAGTATATACCCAGACATGACCAAAAATTAAGATAGATATGGGTAGTACAAATCTTAACTGTATAAAGATAGCCTAAATTTTATAGATCACTTATATTTGTAAATATCTATAAAATATATATATATATATATATATATATATATATATATATATATATATATATATATATATATATATATATATATATATATATATATATATATATATAATATATATATATATAAAATATATAATGTATATGTTGTTGAATATGAACAAAGGGTCAAAGGGATTAATAATTCTAACACGAGTCTTCTCAATATTTCTTACGTTTTTCTTCACTGTCGAGGGAAGTTGAAAAATTAACTCTCCAAAGTTCATTTTCACAGTTTATGGTCTGACGCCTAGGGATGCGTTTCGCAAGGCACTCCTTACATTTTCAAAAACAAATTTTCCATGCTCTGCCATGGCTTGGGATGAGGTGGTACATAACGTGATTGAGATGAACAAGTGGAAGAATGGCATAATGGATATTAATAAGCTATTAAATGCCTATGTTCTAGCTAATATTGTGTTGGTTCGGGAGTCTTGAAGTTGGTTGAATGTATTTGTGTTAACTGGTTGTCGATTGCTGGTCTTGACTTTTTGATGTGTATTACCAGTCTTCTGCTGTCGTTATACCTCTCGATTATTTCAGTGTTGCTTGTTAAGATTTCAGCCTTAATGGTCCCCAGGCATATATGCAACTGAAAACTCACACCCCAGAAGTGACTCGAACCCATACTGCCAGGAGCACTCTGCAACTGGTGTACAGGACACCTTAACCATCCGGTCGTGATGGTTGAGTGGTTAAGGTGTCCACATTATTGTTTTCAACACTCAACATTACTGTTTTTATTATATTTTTTCTTAAAGTTGTGGATGGAATTGGATTCAACAACCTCCTCCTTCAATGAATTCCTCTTCTTGACCACTTGTACAGGAAACAAGAACTTACGCACATTTGTACAATGTGCATTGTACATCCAGCTTCCATTAATATCCCCTTGGCCTATGTCCTTTTAATTTAAATAGGCTTCCTTTGTCCAATTTGTCAATTCCCTCCAGGATCTTGTATGTAGTGATTATATTTCCTCTGTTTATTCTCTCTCTCCTCTAAGGTTGTGAGAGCGAGTTCTTTCAACTTGTTCTAGTAACCGAGCCCACTCAATTCTGGTACTATACTATTAATCTAGTTGCAAACCTCAGAACTTTCTCAAGCTTCTTTTTGTGCTTCACACGATGTGGGTTCTATGCTGGTGCTGTATTCTCAAGTAATGATCTCACATATGCAGTGTATAATGAATTTGAACGCCTCCTTTTTTAGATACATAAATGTTTTTATTGTTTGCTAACTTCCCATATGCTGCTGATGTTATCCATTTCATATGAGTGCTGTTGGTGGAGGTGCTACTGCTATTGGTTGGGGTGCTACTGCTGTTGGTGGAGATGCTACTGCTGCTGGTGGAGGTGTTACTGCTGTTGGTAATTACCTAAGTGTAGTTTCAGGATGAGAACTGTGCTTGTGGTGTCCCATCTACCCAGTACTCCTTGTCATATGATGCGTTGAAACTATTGACAGTTTTGGCATTCACCACCTTTTCATTTAACTTGTTCCAACTGTCTACCACTCTGTTTGAAAAAGCGAACTTTCTAATGTTTTTTCGGTAGCTTTGTTTCCCTAGTTTGAATCTATGACCTCTTTGTTCTTGAAGTTACAGTTTTCAAGAATTCTTCTTTGTCAATTTTGTCATTCCTGTTACTATTTTGTATGTAATAATTATGTCACATTTTTCTTCTTTCTTCTAGCTTTGGTATATTTAATACCTCTAGCCTCTACTTGTAGCTCATTTTTTAGTTCCGGAAACCATTAAGTTGCATTTCTCTGCCACTGTTCAGGTTTTCCAATGGACTTCTGGAGATATGGGCACCATACAACTGCTGCATATTCTAATTTTGGTCTCATAAGGGTCATGAACTATTTCTTTAATGTTTTGCCATCCATGTATTTAGAAGCGATTCTGAAGTTGGAAAGCTTGGCACGGGCTCCTTGCACAAAGCTCTTCATGTGGTCCTCAGGTGACAGTTTTATATCCAGGCTCGCCCCTAGATCCCTTTCTTTATCAGAATTGCTTAAAGATTTGTTCACAAAATTTGTAGGTTGTGTGTGGCCTATTTCCTCCTATTCCACATTTCATAATGTGGCATTTATTCACATTCATCTCCATTTGCCAAGTGTTGTTCTACAGTTATAATATCCAGGTGTTTTTGAAGGGCATGACACTCATCTGTGTTTTTTATCCTCCCTATTATCCTGGCATCATAAAAAAAATTCATTTAATTTTGTATTCCATCTGGTAGTTTGTTTATATAGAGGATGAACATTACTGGTGCTAGAAATGAACCCTGTGGTACTCCACTTGTAACACTTCTCCAGTCTGATACATAGCCTCTGATTATGTACTGCCCTCAGTTTTTTGTCAGTATTGTTTTTATGTCAGAATTCTTCCTGTTAGCCCTCCAGTATGTACCAGTTTCCAGAACAACCTCTTATGTAGGACACTTGTCAAATGGCTTTTTCAGGTCCAGATAGATGTGGTGAACCCAGCATTTGTCTTTCTTGTAAAATGACTGTGGTTCTGTCATAAAAACTAAGTAGATTTGTTACACAGGATCTTTTTGTTTGAAAACCATACTAACTGCCTGTTATAAAATTTCTCTCCAGGTGTTCTGCCCATTTGGTTTTAATTATTTTTCTAGTGTTTTGACTACCATGTTTGTTAATGATACAGGTCTATAAGTAAGAGGGTCTTCCCTACTACCATTATTGTGGACTGGAACTATGTTTCCCTTTTTCCATGTATCTGCCAAACCTCCTGTATGCAAAGATGACTGAATAGTCAGTTGAAGTGAGGTGCTCAGCTTAGATGCTCATTTTTCCAGAACACATGTTGAAACTCCTGGGCCAACTGCCTTGTTTCTACCTAATTCCTTGAGCATTTTTTCACTGTCTCAAGACACCCTCATGTCTTGAAATTCCTTGAAATTTGTATTGTGTCTAGTTCTCTGTAAACTTTATTTTGCTCACACTTTGGAACTGTTCGTTTAGTGTGTTACACATTTCCTTATCATTTTCCACGAATCTTTCCCCATTTTCAACCTATAGATCTTATCCTTTACCTGCAATTTGCTTTTAAAGAATTTATAGAATTATCCAGGTTCTGTTTCACACTTTACTGCAGTTCCTTTCTCAAAGTTTCTTTCTGCCTCTCTTCTCACTGCTGTGTTTTGCTTGTTTGTATTTCTGGTATGTTTGTGGGTTAGGCCTCTTCCTATACTAGTTCCTTTTTTTGTGTGTATTTTGTTCTCTGGCCTATGTTCTCACTATTTATGTTGAACCAATCTTGCTTTCTAGTTCTGTTCTAGCTCTAGTTCGCCTTTGTCATATACTTCACATACAGTATATGTTTGTGGGGCCCTAGGGCTGTTGGTGGGGTTCTACTGTTTTTGGCAGGAGCCCCACTGTTGTTGGTGGAGTCCTAGTGTTGTTGGTGGGGAGTGTACTCCTCTTTCTTATTTACCTTGGTGGTTTTGAATTGCTGCTTTGTGCTTACGTATCCATCCAAATTAATGGTTTATCAGGTCTACCGCCTACACAATGCAATGCCAAGATGGCCTGCAGATGATTTAGAGCCTTCATCTTCTTGATACATTTCTTGTCTTTTCTTTATACCAGTGGCACCAGACTTTCTTACACTTCTTGGCAGTTTTAAAGCTGTCTGGATATGTTTTGTGTGTAAAATATGATGGTAAACACCTGGAGTAGTCAGTTTAACATCTTGTGTGTCAAGAGGCAGAGGTGTGTTGGTTACAGATTTACGCTTCAAGTCTGTAGCACAGTCATTGTATGTACAGTAAACAATTCCAATTACCATATTTGCATGCATATAACACACACACCTATTTTACAAGGATATTTGATGGAAAACAAATACAAATGTAGTGCATTCCATCATACATTTATTGAAAGTGATTTTCAGGTGTTTTTGTAGAGGGAAAATATATTAGTTTGGGTATCTAAATACAATAAATAAATATATATAATCTTGGTCTTGAGAATGAGATGGAAAGTAAGGTACTGAAAAGCTGTAGTCCTCTTTCTTATAAGTATAGCACAGTATAAGTAGGTGGTTTATGATCTACGAATGTGGAATAGTAGCTAACCTTGTGGCATACAGTATACGGTACAAATGTAAAGACCTTTATTATCAGCAAATTGTGATGTGACTTGTTATATCACTGTACTTCATCGGCATGTTTGAATGTAGAGAAAACCAGAGAAAATACATACTTTGTGACATTGGGAATAGCAAAGAGTTGTCTGTGATTATTTATGCACATACTGTATTTCATTTTATTTATAAACACAATACTTTAAGCAGAAGAGTTAGAGTAATCTATCTATGCTTTCATTGTTGTACTGTAGATTAGATTTCTACGAGCACCATTTTAAGGTCTGCACATCAAATGTGTTAATTCCAGTTTGAATGTATGGATAACCCATCATTTTTTTATTATTTAATATGTACAGAGTAAAGGTTACTTTTACTGAAGTTGCTTCTTCAGTCTCTCTTTACAAACCTTAAAATGGCTGCAACAGTTAAAACAACACTAACATTATTTAAATGGCATTTGTTGAAACAAATTAATAGCTATGAGTAGCACTATTGAATATGAGCTTAGTTTATGGAACCAAGTAAATATTAACACAAACTAATTTATGAAGTGACAGAGAAATGTATGGTTTAAGGACCCAGTTGGAATTTCAGCATCATGTACTAGTACAGGTATGTGATTTATAATGTAGCAGTTCAGAATTTGTTTGGCAAAAGAATTTACCCCGTGCATTGCTTTTTCTGTCTACTATTTTCTGGATTGTTTGTACTGTATCCTTATTTTAGTCATGGTGGACTGGTGAAATTAGCCTATTTGTTGTTTACAGTTTGGTAAGGTAAGATAATTGTCAGGAGAAAGCACCAAGCCATTATGACTATATAGCACTTGAAAGGGTTAAGGGGAGAAGGATATAGGATGCATGAATAGAGGAAAGAAATGGTGCCCAACCACTTGGACAGTCAGGGATTCAACGCAGACCTGCAAGAAGCTCTACCGTCCAGTCCAAGTGGTTGGGCATTACAGCTTGGTGCTCTCTTTTGATAATTTATTTACTTGTATGATATTTATTACCTGGGAGTCTTCTAAGGTTACCTACTGTTACCTAGCAGTAAAATAGGTACCTGGGTGTTAGTCAGCTGTCACGGGCTGCTTCCTGGGGGTGAAGGCCTGGTCGAGGACCGGGCCGCGGGGACACTAAAGCTCCGAAATCATCTCAAGATAACCTCAAGAAGATAGGAAGGTGACATGGGCCAATGAAACCATTTCTCACTGCTGAGCTGAGTTGTCTGTGTAATATATTTTAATTTGTCCTGTTATTGTACAAATCCTCACTTAGTAGATAAGAAGAGTTAAATCTGCAGAAGGCTTATTGGCCCATGTGAAGAAACTCCTATTTATAATATTGTATTCATTCAGTCTTGAGTCATACATTTGTCTAACAAATACTTGAAACTTTCAAGTGGGTTTACTTCTGTTATGCTACTTGGTATTTTATTCCATAAATCTGCAACCTGTTTCTAAACCAGCATATGCCTATGTCTTTTTCAGGTCTAAACTTGCCCATCCTTTATCTATTGTTTTGTGTTATAACTTAAATTATATTTTCAGAGCACGTTAAACAATGTAACCTCAACAATCCAGAACTCACTATAATGAAAATCTTAAAAATCTGGAAAGAAAGAGGCATTTCATTATATTTACTGCTTGATATTTTGTTCTGTGGATGACACAGTACAAGTGCGGGAGAGAGAGGCATCCTGGCCATATGCATTTTCCTCAGTACTGGTGAGGTTCACCACTCAGCACTTGGGAATTTTTTTTTGGATACTTCAGCATTTGAGAATAGTCAGGATAGAGGAGGTAAAATTGGATGTTTCTGACAATGGAAGAAAAGATCTGATTTTTAATTTTTAGAGAAGTGTGGATCCTCCTGATTTAGCCAGTGGTCACCTTCATATGCCATGGGTTTAAAACCTATAATGCTGGTCAAAGCACCAAAATGACCCAGGATCAAGACCTCAAAGGTCCCAGCAAAAATTAAGCTGGTGGTGGTGACCTTATAGTAGAGTCGACTATGGATGTCGAGCATGCTTCTTCCTTGGCTGTTACTCACTTGTTCTTTTTGGATTGTTTAGAAAAATCAGAGGCTTCTGTGGTTGGTGCTCACCATTCTCTTCTCCAAAGTTTCAAGACTGGTTACACTTGTAAATTGGATCCAAATTCTTTTGAGTTTGGCTTCTAGACTGTGTCCTGGTTATGGTATGAGTGTTAGTTTTGTCCCGACTAACAGATATTCTGTTGTTTTCCTTTGAGGCATGGTAACACTTGTTGCACTCAGGCTTCGGAGAAGAAGGATATTCTCCCATCTTTACTTTATTCTTGGGGCACACCTTTTTTTTTTTATTCTGTACATCATGATTTGTTTTGTGCCTGCCCTTCACCTTAATAATGTGAGTGTGGGGTCACAGCATCCAGATTCCCATATTGCCTGCAACTTTGGCCTCTGTAAATGACAAGCGTGTGGACTCATTTAGTGGAATTTCACCATTATTGCACCGCTCAGAAAATGTTTTTTGTGTGGCTGAATTCACAATTGAGTACTTTGTTCACTGGCTCCTCTCTGGCCTTGTTGTCAGTATCGGCTGTCTCAGATTCTTTCTCTAAGTTACTGGCATTACTTGCGCAGGTTTAAGCATCAGACTTGCATGCAGTTTGTCGGACCTGTAGGAATGTTGCCTTTGATCTTCTCCAGAGTCCTCTTGGTAAATTGTCTTGCAGAATGTATCTCCATTTTTTCTCTTCTCTTTCTAGAAAAGGAAAGTGAGCCAGGTTTTGGCAGCAGCTAGAGTATCATTTCAGCCACTTCACTAAGTGTGTTGACTTTTATTGGGTGCTTCAGCTTGGGCTCTGACCTATTCTTGGTCTTGTTTGTCTTAGCCTCCTAGCCGAGATATGGCTACAGATGTTTTGGGCTCTTGTTCAGTTATCTACTCTATTACCCTGCAGTGTCATTCATGACTTGTTAGACATATACATGATTGTGGTGACACATTCCCTTCAGGCGATGCCTGGTTTTCCCTATCCTCAAGGACACTCCAGTTCCTTGCTTTATTCTCAACCTCTCTGCTTTCAATATGCTTATTCTTTGTCCAACAGTTCCAGGTGACCACCGTGTCTCAAGTGTGCCTGGTGTCATCGAGTCACTCCTGGTTTGTTTCTCTGGATTTATGTAGAATGCCTATTGACATGTTCCCAGTTATCATCAGTTCAGGGATTGGATGTGGGTTTAGAGTGAGACACCTTAGCTACTACTCTAGTTTCTCTTCTCGACTAATTCACTGCATTTTTTTACAGAATAGACCAGTCCATCAAAATTATGGCATTTTGGTACAAATTAAAGCGCCACGATATTGATATTTTCCGAGCCTCAAACTTGGTAAGTTAAGTGGGTTACTTAAGTTTGAATACTTGTGCTAAGGCAAAAATATTTGCATTTTTATAGCATGTTAAATTGTGAAAATGGGCTGACTAGTTTTTGGTTCAAATTTGACACCCAGGATCTTTGCGGATTGACACAAGTGGTGCTCCTGGAGCCTTGTTTTCATGGGCCCAGATTGGAGCCTCCTTTGATGACTGGTGGTTCTGGACTCCCAATCCTTCTGCTAACCACATATCTTGTACTCTCTCTCTGTTGGTATATTTAGGTTTCCTAGTCAACTGGCAAAAGCCCTAGTTGGTGCCAGCTCAGATGTTTATATATGGTATGGATTGGTCTGGAACACTTGGATGGCCTCCTTCCCTCTCCTACGGTAGACAGGTTCCGAGGAAAACATTCTTGGTAGTACAGTATTGTTAAGATGACTTTTCATTCAGTTGTCAACACATGCTGAGTACATGCAACAGTTTTGAATCTGGAAACTTTTCTAGGTACTTATTTTAGCAATTGATGTTAGACTTCTGCAGCAATAAGTTAACAAAAATTAACTAATGTTAGTGATTCATTTACATGCATTTAGTTCACACCTATAGAAGTAACTAAGCACAAGTGATTTTTATAAGTAAAGACTAGTAGAATTTGATTGCTTTCAAACATGTAAGACTTAAATTTTAATTCAGTGTTTGGTTTGATTGTGGTTTAATGTATAGTCCTTAATTACATTATGGTAATGTACATATCTTAATTTGCCTAATGCTTTCATTATAAACTTTTTCCACTTCTGCTAAACCATATATAGTACTGTGTATAGGAAATGAATAATATAACATCACTGGCAGATATTAAAGTTTATCATAAAAATCAAAATCATCTTCATCAGAACCATCCTCTCCTGCACTAACACCACATGATTCTGAATCGGAAGCCAAGTTCAGCTGAATAGCTGCTGATGTACGAGGTTTGCTGGGATTTATTCCAACTCCGGGTTTAATAGTTTCCTTAGATAATTCTGTATATGGCTTTAAAGGCAAGTCTTGTGGTGTAGATGACGGTCGTTGCTGAGCTTGAGCTGAGGCAGTGGCTGTTGCTGGTTGATCTGTAAATCAAGAAATAAACAGAATAAGTCGGTGAAATGAAATGATCTGGTAAGCAGCAGGTTGCACCACTTGTTGATATAGATTTGACTAAATGTAAACTCCATCAGCAAAACTATTGTTGCATCTATCATTGTCAGACCTAGTGCTGTACTGAAGGTTTAATAAGCCCACCACTTTGCAGCTTGGGGAAGATACAGTGGGACCCATCAGAAAGAGGTCTTCACTACAAGAAGGGGCCATTGTGACTCGGTAGTTAAATAAACCCAAATGCATTCATATACAGTGTATATGAATGAGTTTGAGTCACAACACCAGCCATTTCAGTACATCAAGAAGGCATTTCATTACATCAAGAAGGCGTTTCATTACATCAAGAGGGTGTTTCATTACATCACAGAAGAGCATTTTATTACATTAGGGAAGGGGGATTTCATTACTTCATACATTTAACATGCTAAAACCAATGAAATGCCCCTTCCCTCCCATGATGTAATGAAATGCCCTCTTTGTAACACCCCAGGGAGGCCTCCCATAGAGGTCAGCCCAGGTGACCTCTGATCTCCTGTAGAGTCGTTGAAGTGCAGACGAGTTTGTTTTGATATCATTCCTGGCTAGGCCCGAGTCAGCTTAGGATCAAGCTCTCACCCAAAGGGTTGCCTCACATTTCATGACTCCTTCCTCTCTCACCCTTCCATAATTAATCTCCCCTTCTTGAGAGGTATGGGGATCAGGAGGTTGACCTAAAGCCATTAATAAGACTAATGTCAAAAAATAACTTAGAACAGGAAATTCCTACATGGGAGGCTTCCCTCATCTGAAGAAGAGATGGATCTGTCTTCCATAATCACGTGGAGTGGTAGGATGTCACACCGTCAGTTACAAGACCAGTCCAGGATAAGCCTTGTCAAACAAGCTTTAATGAAAATTCTTGGAATGATGATGTTGAACAAACCACCCCTACAAGCCTCCCACTTGTAGGTTGGCAACAAACTAACCACCCCCCCCCCCCTCCCCATCATCTGAACCAGTTGATACTAGGTGTGGTAGTTTTTGGGGTGTATAAATACCCTGTGTGTGGGAGATAAAAATCAGAGTACATGGTCCAAGTGACGAGAGCTGGTCTGCAGGACATCACACAGCCAGGTGGGAGACAGAGGGTCTCAAGCGTTGAGAGGCAAGGGTTCCATAAGGTATTGTGTTTGTTCTCTGATTCCATGCCTAAATTATGTACCATTTTGCCAGTGTAGGATAGTGACAGGAATTTGCCAGTGTGTAGGAACTTAGGATCTGTGGTGACTAAGTTCCTACACACTGGCAAATTCCTGTCACTATCCTACACTGGCAAAATGGTACGTAATTTAGGCATGGAGTCAGAGAACAAACACAATACCTTATGGAACCCTTGCCTCTCAACGCTTGAGACCCTCTGTCTCCCCACCTGGCTGTGTGATGTCCTGCAGACCAGCTCTCGTCACTTGAACCAGGTACTCTGATTTTTATCTCCTACACACAGGGTATTTATACACCCCAAAAACTACCACACCTAGTATCAGCTGGTTCAGATGATGAGGAGGGGGGGGGTTAGTTTGTTGCCAACCTACAAGTGGGAGGCTTGTAGGGGTGGTTTGTTCAACATCATCATTCCAAGAATTTTCATTAAAGCTTGTTTGACAAGGCTTATCCTGGACTGGTCTTGTAACTAATGGTGTGACATCCTACCACTCTACGTGATTATAGAAGACAGATCCATCTCTTCTTGAGATGAGGGAAGCCTCCCATGTAGGAATTGCCTGTTCTAATTTATTTTTTTACATTAGTCTTACTAATGGCTTTGGTCAACCTCTTGATCCCCATACCTCTCAAGAAGGGGAGATTAATTATGGAAGGGTGAGAGAGGAAGGAGTCATGAGATGTGAGGCAACCCTTTGGGTGAGAGCTTGATCCTAAGCTGACTCGGGCCTAGCCAGGAATGATATCAAAACAAACTCGTCCGCACTTCAACGACTCTAGGAGATCAGAGGTCACCTGGGCTGACCTCTATGGGAGGCCTCCCTGGGGTGTTACAAAGAGAGCATTTTGTTACATTGAAGGAGGGGGGATTTCATTACATCAAGAGAGCGTTTCATTACATTAGAGGAGGGAAGGGGGCATTTTGTTGAATAAATGCATGATGTACTGAAACATCCTCTCCCCTGATGTAATGAAACGCCCTCTCCCCTGTTGTAATGAAACGCCCCTCTCCAGCCATGGAATATGTCTGGTGGGTCCCTTGGTATCTTTCTGAGCTGCCTAAATATGGATCTATATTATATTGTACATCATGATTGTTATGCTGTTATTATGGATTTTTCTTTTGTAAATAACACTGAAATTGTGTAAACTTAATTGTAAATGTATAGCAATTTATGGAATAAAGCTTTTGATTTAATTGTTTTCATTATTAACACGTGTCATTTGTGCTAATAAAAATACTGTACAGTACATTAAGTGCAACACAGAAAGAGTAAGTGTTTTGCTGTAACAAAAGATTGAAGTACTATACTAATTAATAAAGATCAACACTAGAGATGGAACACACTTTACAGCTTATAAAATCATTCCGATTATTCCTTTACTACAAATTTACTTACTTTTATCTATTGTGTATGAATATCTTTCTCGTGTGAAATAAAGTGCATCAAGTATAAAATCTCTTTCCATTCACAAGGTACTCTCTTTAAATTATGTGAAGCTGCCGGTAATAGTTGAATCATATCATCGTTATTTGTTACACAGGCAGCCAATTCATAAAGCAAGGCATATAACTTCACTTGCTCACATGTTTACCAGCATCACTGAATGCTTTTATTGCACATTAAATGCATTCAGTGCTTGCCAACAAATCCTTTAACACCCTTTTTCTCCAGGAACATATTCACTCATCACTTATTCATATTCACCCATCACTATTTATAGTTTTCATCTACAATTATAATTTTCAATCTTGCTATATTCTTTTTCCTCACTTGCATTTCACATGTCTATGAATATTAATCTTGTTTATATTTTTGCCGAGAATGACTGTATTAAGTTCAATTTATGAGCCCTGATTGACTTAAAATATAAATATTAGAATGAAAACGCAATCCTTTGGGAAAATATAACATTTCAGATCAGCTAACAAGTCCTTAGAAATAATCTGTAATGATAAAACTGCATCATGTATTCTGGTACTAGATAATATAATTTTGAAAAAAAAAAAAAATCTTAATTGTAAAGAGAAAATTGCATAGAAAACATGAAAGCCATACCATTTTTATTTTTCATTGCTGCTTGTATGGCTGCCTCTACACTGTCAACGCTGTCTGTATCCGTTTCTGGTGGTCGAGGTCGGAGAGATGGAATGCTGGAGGCAAATGGCTTGAATGTCGATCTGTTAAGCAGAGTTTTATTATTACCAGAATCAAGTGAAAACAGCATGCAACTTAGCTTTTTAAATTTCCTATCTGTATATTATAGCTATTCTAATTGTATTTCACTTATCCTTACAACATGCAAATACCTTATTTGAGAATGCAAGATTTTCTTTTAATATAAAAAAAAATTGTCCTGTGTTTAATGTGCTCAGATGGGAGCCAGTGTCATAGGTGCAAAGCATGTAGCTAATATGATGAAATATACAGTACAGTATCCATTTAATTTAACAACCTATATGAAGCTATACCCTACTCCCTGAATCAAGATGGTTGCTAAATTCAAAGTTGTTAAAATGCCAGAAACAGAGAAATTCTTGGTCCCCCAAAAATATTTTCTTACATCATTTAACATTATTTAACTTCCCCTCCCCCCCCCCCATCCCCTTACACACACAAACACACAGACAGTATGGGTTTGATCTGAAAGATCCTGTGTAACAAATCTACTTGGTTTCTATGATAGAGCCACAGAGATTTTACAGAAAGAGATGGTTGGGTTGACTGCATTTATCTGGACCTAAAAAAAGGTTTTCGACAGTCCCTCACAAGAGAATCTGCAAACTGGAACATACTGGAGGAGTAATAAGGAGGCTTCTAACGTGGATGAAAAATTTTGTCAGAAAACTGAGGCCAATAATCAGAGGCAATGTATCGGACTGGAGAAATCTCATGAGTGGAGTACCACCGGGTTTAGTTCTTGCACTGGTAATGTTCATTGTCTACATAAACAACTTACCAGAAGGAATACAGAATTATATGAACATGTTTGCTGATGATGCTAAGATACTAGGGAAGATAATAAACCAAGACAATTGTCATGCCCTTCAAGAAGACTTGTACAAGATAAGAGTACGGAGCACCACTTGGCAAATGAAATTTAATGTGAATAAATGTCATGTTGTGGAATAGGAAAAAATAAACCAAATACAACCTACAAATTATTTGAAAAAGCTAAATTCTGATAAAGAATGACATCTAGGGGTGGTTCTAGATATAAAACTGTCACCTGAGGGCCACATAAAGAACATTGTATGAGAAGCCTATGCTATGCTATGCTTTCTAATTTCAGAATTACTTTGAAATACATAGATTGTAAATTACTAAAGAAATTGTTCATGACCTTTGTGAGACTAATATTGGAATCTGCAGCAGTTGTACGGTGCCCATATCTTAAGAAACATGTCAACAAATTGGAAAAGGTGCAAAGACTTGCAACTAAATGGCTTCCGGAGCTGAAAGACAAGAGGCACGAAGAGAGGTTGGTGGCATTAAATATGCTAAAGTTAGAATATAGAAGAAAAAGATGTGACATGATCACTACATACAAAATAGCAATGGGAATCAACAATATTGATAAACAAAATTCTTGAGACCTGGAATTTCAAGAACAAGAGGTCACAGATTTAAGCTAACTAAACAAAGCTACCAAAGAAATATAAGAAAATTCACTTTCGTAAAGAGAGTGATAGGTGGTTAGAACAAGTTAAGTGGGAAGGTGGTGGAAGCCAAAACCGACAGTAGCTTCAAAGCGTTATATGACAAAGAGTGCTGGGAAGACGGAACACCACAAGTGTAGCTCTCATCCTGTGACTGCACTTAAGTAATTAAACACACACTTATTTCTCCCTCCAACCCACCAACACTCATTTTCCCTATTGCCCACACACAGTCAGTCATCCCTCCCACACACAACTGCAGAGAAATACTGGCACATTCCCACACACCATCAAGTGCAAAGTTGTGAGACAACAAACCCAATAATGGCTGCCTGTTTATCTGGTGGTAAACTTGGTCAATTCAATGTCAACCACAATATGCCTTTATTGAATGTCGTCTCTGAAAATGAGGATCCAAATTCCGGTTTCACAGTCACTGACATTTCACTGACATTCTTGGGACCCATGGTATAATATATAATTATACTGGGGTAATTAAATATATAATAATTTTTTAACAATTTTATGTTGAAAAAACCATAAAAAGAAGAAAAACTATGAAACTCTTTACAAAGAATTCAAGCGCAATCGTCACTAAGTGGGAGGCACTGGTAAACTGAAGCGTGGTCGCCCGTGCCACCAGGAACCATGCGTTCAGTCGACTCATGTGTCTATCAACAAACTACGTAAGATGAGGCAAAGCTAGTAACCCGATTCAAATTTTACAAAGAAATTGAGCTCGTAACCCGAAAAAATCATAAAGAGGAACATTCGTATCCCCGAGGTTCCACTGTATTGTACTTTATAATGGAGTCTTTTCTAAGTACTATATCTAATCAAGAGAGATAATCTCAGGGAGATTCGAGCAATAAAACAAGGCAAAATGTAAACTACAAATTATTACACAACCAAGGAGAAAACATTATTAACTTGTTAAATCTTTTTGATAAAGTGTTTGACCTCAATAGTCAGACATTACCTTGTTGACTGATTCTGCTGCTTGGAAAGGATGGAAGACATCTGTCCTTCAACATCATCATTGTCGCTCTCTGTGCTCAATAAGGATCGTGCACCGACTCTCGTTTCTCCCACCACACTTTTGTATGCTGTCGAACCTGTTAATATTACTTCAATTAATGGATTTAAACAAATCTAATTAATTGTTATTGAACTATTTTATATTTAAAGTCTTTATAATCACGTGCTGAAATGAAAGAAATGAATTGCAGTTAATTCAGCTTAAGTCAGCAAAATTTACAACAGTGAAAAATCCAGTGTTTAATGTAATGAGCCTCTTTCTGGGGGAAGGGTTCCCCTCAGTGGTTCTCCGAGCTAACAAGGCGGTTAGCTCAGGAAGCCACTGAGGAGAGCCCTCCCAGAAATAGCATAGCACTATAATTTGTTAAGACTTAATTATAAAGCCTGATGAACAGAAGGAAGGAGACATTAAAGTGAAAACAAGATGCTAATAATAAAGAAACTGTCAAGAAACTGCAAATGTGAAAGAGGACTTGATTCCAGTGTGCTCACCTGTAACTGGAATATCACGGTCAAAGAAATCTGAATCATCTTCCTCTTGATCCTGAGATAGTGTCTCTGAATTTAAAACTTTTGATCTATTTTCATAAGTCATGCCAGAATCAATTATTTCTCCAGAAGAATATTGATTTAATAATTTTTCTGGGGAGTCTAATTTTGGAGTACTTAATTTACTCTCTAGAGATTGATAAGATGTTTTTCCTAATTCATCATCACTTCTCAGATGACCTGTTTCTTCTTCTTCTTTACAAACCACAGATGGCTGTGGTGTTTTTTCTTTTGGCTCCATGGATATTGTTGAAACAGCATTGCCATGTTTTTCTTTGGTTATCAGTATTGTGTCATTATTGCCAGGTATGTTGTCAGATGAGATGGAGTTAACTTTGCTGGTTTGCTCGTTTGGTAATGCAGGCGAATTATCTCTTGCAACAGGTGAAGTGCTAATGTTATCATTAGCTGCATGTACTGGCAATTCGTTTTCCCTAGAGTCAGGCAATGATTCACTTCTAATTCTCTGCAATCCATTTTTTGTATTTATAGTGGATGCTGCTTCATTAATTTCACCTTCAAAATTACTCACATTTGCTGAGATTATTTCACTCTTATTCTCACTTATTTTACCATTTGCAGACATTTCAACATTTTCCTTCCCATTCTTTCCAATTTGTTCTTTTGCATTGGACTCATTATACATGGTTCTTGAGCTGGGCTGTAGCAATAATGGTTGATTATTAAGTGCAACTGGAACATTGTGCTCACCTAATGCTTCCCCTTCTATAGAATCACTATTTAGATGATCTTGTTCAATATTTTTTTCTGAAAAATCAGCAGAAGATTTCCTTTCACTTTCTCTTTCTGAAGTCCTAGTTTCACTTAAAATGCATTCATTTTCATTTGTAGCTTGGAATAGAGTTTGATGTACAATTTCATCATTCCTCGCTGCAGTTTCATGGCCTAACACGTCAGATAATCTATCATCTGAAGGTTTTTTATGTGTGAGAGTCTCTTGTGAAGATGATTCAGGATCTAAATGTTTAGAAATTTCCATTGAATCTGGTAAACTGTGGATTATTGTGGCTGTAGGAACTGTAGGTGAACCATATGTTGAATTTATAGAGAATGGTGGGGTTGGCCTACTAGGTAAATATTCTTCGGTAATGGCATTGCCCATCTGATTGTTTTGTGCAGTATTGTGGAGGGGGTGAGAGTGCTGGGATAAATGTTGCATGTCCTGTGTCATAAGGGAAATTGGGTTGATTGTTGGTTGAGGTAAGGCAGTCTCTGCAGTATCAAGAACTGAATCTTTTGGAGACTGCACTGCTGATAAGGGATTATGAAAAGCTGCATTACTTTTCACGTGACGAGCTGGATTATAGCCATTAGAGTCATAAGATACATTAGTCATGTTCTTTGCTTCATTTAAAGGCTTACTAAATTCTCCAGACTCTGCAGGAGCCCTGATGTCAGAAACACAGTTTTCTTCTGCATTTAGATTTCTCAAATAGTCATATTGAGCAGATGGATTAAAGAAGTGAGTTGCTCCACTTTTCATTGGAGATGAAATATCAACATTGGTTTTTCCATCAGCCTGTGAATGTTTGAAGGGTATGAATGCTCCCTGCTGATCAACACCCTGATGGTGAGTTCCTGTTTGATTTACTAACTGTTGTCCATATGCTGGATAGCCCATTTGCCCGTGAGGTAAGTAACCTCCTGGAGGCCAATGACTGGAGGTAGATGCAACAGACGAAGTAACGGGGTAAGCATGAGACTGTTGAGTGTTGGCAGGGTGGAAGAGAGGTGGGTTGGCAATGAGAGTGCTGCTGGGGTGTTGAGGAACATCCACTCTAGTGGCACCAGCTTCAGAAAGAAAATAAAGGGGAGAATTAGAAATGTATTAAAATCATAACAAATAAATAACAACATAATAGGTGCGTCTGGGATCCTCTCGGACATAGGTTTGAACCCTCATCACGGCCCTTGTGGATTTATTCATTTGATGCATCACGCTACTGTGATTTCTGTGTGTAACATAATAGTATTTCAATTAACAACACAGCATATCAAAGCAGTTTTGAGCTGCAATTTATTTTATCAAAAATAATATTGCACATAAAACAAAACAAAACTTAATAATTTTTATATAGTAAGACATCACTCTTATTTATAACTAGATATTATAAAGCTCCAAATATAGATCTGTAAGTGTACCTTATCCCCCAACAACATTGCAGAAAAATCATCCCCTGCACAATAGGCACAGGAAATTGAGTCGAGGACCCATTTTCTCAATCTTCAATTGTAATCACTGCTATCAATTTATATCTTGTAATCACTGCTATCAATCTATATCATGGTTGTTATGTTGAATGCAAATTTTACTTCAATGTACCTATTAATAACCCTCAAATTTTACTTCATTGTACCAATAAATTTTCTTCAAATTTTCTTACAATGTACCTGTTAATATTCTTCAAATTTTGCTACAAATTATCTACTTAAAATTATCTGTTTACATTAAGGACCTGCCCGAAATGCTATTTGTGTTAGTGGCTTTGCAAGAATGTAAAAACATCAATGCTATGTACAGTACTCTCAAATCCAATGTACCTTCTTGTATATAAATAAATAAATAAATTTTTTTTACACACTTGACAGTGAGAAATGAGGTACAAAACTGACATTTGTCTACTAAGCGTTGTGGGCAAAGTGTATGACAGAACACTTATGAAACAATGTAGAAAATATTTGAAAATTCTTCTCATGTTGAACAGGCTGGGTTCCATAGCAACAGAGGTTGTATTATTTGATATTTGCATTGAGACAGCTGAGAGAGAAATATTATATGTTAAGGAATTTATGGGCCTGGAATATATACATACACTGGCTGGCTGTCCCCCTCGACTCAATGAATTATAATCATAATTGGGAAGTCAAGGTAAAAATAAGTTGAAAGCAAAGCTTATAAAATTTGATATACTGTATACAGTATATACTGTAAGGAATGAAAATGTCATGAACAAATGTGGAATATAAAATTCAGAACAGTACTGGAAATGATAAAATAGAGGCAATTATCAAAATGGTTTGATCACATTGAGTAAATCGATGATAAAATGGTTAATGGAGAAACTACAATACCGTTGTGTTTGAATGAAGGTGACAGAAAGACCCAACACAGTACATGTGAAAGAGTATTATTAAACCAAATTTTTAGATGAAGCCTACACCCTTTATTAAGGTGCTGTTAAACAGTCTTTGATAAAGAATGTAGGTTTCATCTGAAAATTTGGTTTAATAATACACTTACACATGTACTAGGTGTTTCATTCACCTAAAATGTTAATAGAATGTATTTGAGTAAATTAGAAGGTAGAAGAGGAGGAAGCCAATAAGAGGAGGACGGACATGGTGATTGAGTGTTTAAGGATGAGAACATTAACATAAGGAGTGAACGATGTACAAAAAGTGGCATGGAATAATGCTACTGGCAAATAAATTTTTTGATAGAATGTCATAATTTTTAATTATAACTCGGGGGAAGCACTTTACAGCCGATTGCATTAAGAGATGTATCATTACTGTAATACAGTAGTGTGACACTGCTTCGTGATGTTACAATACAATATGTAATATGGGACACATGGCAAATGGATAACATGATTTTTTTTTGGGGGGGGGGGTGATATTTGTAATCTCAACTCCATTTTTTGTTTTAACTCCATTTGCTCTCATATTTCTTCTGGATCGATGCCTTGTCAACCCATAAAAGTGGGAAACAGGAGTGATAATGATGAATATAAGAAAAATGGAATAAATGCAACAATTAAGAGCAACTGAAATCTGCTTACCCGAGTTTTGAAATGTATGGTACTGATCACTTTGTATTTTGTACTGATGATCTAGGTTAGTGCTTGCCATGTGCATCTCATACTGTCGCTGAAAGAACAGATTCATTGTTTAGTACGAGAAAAGTTCAAGGAGATATGGTTTTAGATTTCTTAGCTTTAGACCTGGACAAAATGCTGGGTGCAATATAGGCTTTACAAAAATAGCTGTAACTCTCGAATTACACTTTGATATACAGTGTGTGTTATTTCTGCAAGTACAGGTACATACAGTACAGCACCACAATTTGTTTGTAATTTTTTACACTTTTATTCATGTACAGTAATTCAACATTCATAACCATTATCCAATTTGTTAGCATACTATATTGCATCACATATAAACAAGCACACTGATATAGGTTTAAAGCACCCAGTGGTGTAGTGATTAGAACCCCACCCATTTGCCCAACAAGATGACTTCTGACTCTTAAAGAAGCTTTCCCTTCCATAGCATAAAGCTTAAAGCTTTACCCTATTTGTTTTTGTTTTTTAGAACAAAATCTGCTGATTGTTTTGGATTTATGTCTACAATTACTGTTTGCTGAACAGAGATGAACACTAGAGGAACGATGCCTAATCATCCCACTCTGCTACAATTTAAACCAGGTCTTTTCTCCGTTAGACTAGTGTGCAATCAGGTCACCACCGAAAGGTCCTGGGTTAAATTTTTGCAGCAGGACAGAAGCGTTTGTCAGTGTTCCATATCAAATTATCTAGCCGTAATTCGATACCCAGGAATTAGATAATTATTGTGGTTTGCATTTTGGGAAAGGTCAGTAATTGGCTCGAGGAGGACTTCAATATGCCTAACAGGCTGCTCTGTCCCTCAACTATGGCAACCATACTAAAAAACCAGCGCTGAATGTAATTAAATGCCATTTTCTGGGCGAGTCCTGGAGGCTCCCCGAACCGATACTGGGCTGATATGCATATATTAGACTGTGGCAACAGTCAATTCGATTGGAGTTCTTAGCCTACCGGGGACCACACGCCAGAACCTGGGCGCCACCTCATAGAGGCATGAGGAGCAATGGCCTATAGAAACTTCCATATGGTTGGAAGCATTCTATGTCTGCCATCTACCGGGTTAGGCACCCAGAAAGGTAAGTGTCCCAAAACAAACTACGGCAGGTTAAAAATTGCGACCGAAAGCGGAACAGCAAGCAGAACTCCCCAAAAAGAAAACAAGCAAACAAGCATGATGTCACCATCGCCACCCCAGTGCTGTCTGTGCAGCTTCCCCCCTCCCCGGAAGGGAGAAAGGGGAGCCCCAGACCCTCCACACCAGCTATCTAACCCCAGTTCAGAGGCTGAATATCAAACACACAAAAACCGCTGACCAGAGGGAGGGAGGGAGGGTTGCTGGGGAGCCTTCGGGATTCACCCAGAAAATGGCATTTCATTACATTCACCGCTGGTTTTATAGGAAGAGCCTCTCGGCTCCCTGGAGCTACCTAACCAAAGATAAGAAAGGAGGGATTTACCCAGGAGACAGTCTTCACTCACTCCTCAACTTGAAATTGACACCACTGGCTGCAAGATGCAACCCAAAGCTAAACACGCCCGAGTAGGGCCAAGAACATTAACAAGTTACCGTGCGGCCAGGGCACTGTTCAACTGCCAAAAAACCCGCTCCCGAATGTCAAACCAGGACATGTTACCAACCCCCAGGCTGGCTGGACCGAATAACCCTGCGGACAATCTGGGAGACCCGCACCCTGGAACATGGAAGAAGGGGAAACTGGGTCCACCCAAAGCATGTCCCCATCCACTGAGGCCGTGGCACGCAAGTAACGGTGAAGAGCCACCAAGGACGCCAAAAGGGCGAGAACTTGCACATGAAGCTGTATCTGGCCAATATCACGAGGAAGAAGAGGGGCCAAGAAGCATGCAGTGAGGTGTTCAAACTCGTCCCCAGGTAAACCTGAAGACCGTAGTAGTTTCCCGCCACTCAAGCATACAGGGTCTGACAGAACACGTGCCATGCCCCCAACGAAAAGAAACGGCAGTCTGGCAACCAGGAAGATTCTAGCACCTCATAATGCACCCAGTAAGGAAAAGAGGAACCAAACTCAAATGAAGAAGGATCTATTATTGAGGCGAAATCTGGGTCTTGCAAGCAGTACAATGCAAGAACCTCCCGAACCTCCTTAGGCAGGATGCAGGAAGCTGAAAACCTCAGAAAAGAAGAAACTGAGGAACCCAAGGGAACCCGGAACTGAACTCATATCAAATGGGTACAGGGAGGGGAATAAGAAAATCCCTTCCCCTACAACAACAGGTCCTGTGCTGAGGGTACCAACACCTAAGCGGGGTCAAACGGGGCCCAAGCCCCGCCCAAGTCAACTCCTTCCCAGCCCTCGGGATCCTCCATGTCAAGACCCTGGGCACAGCCGTCCTCCAAGCCCTCTGCCTCTGGAGAAAAGGCAGAGTCCACCGGAAAAGCAGGGAAGAAGGGACCGACTCTTATGAGAAGCTGATTGACGTGCAGAGTGAGCACTGTGCCCACCAAAAAGCCAAAAGCTGTTCTAAAGGCTGGTCTGACTCAAAAGCTCCAGCAGGAGGAACCGGCTCGAATGTCTCTGCCTCCGAAAGGGCAGCCCCCGAAACCGCCCGAATCTCACCACCATCTAAACTCTGACCCAACTCCGAAACCCTCAGATGTTTGGGAGCCAGCAACAGGGGAGGGGGGGGGGGGGAGGAAGGAGCAGGACGAACAACAGCAAGGATAGGAAAATGGGGCACGGATGAAATCAAAGTCGAGGTCCTATATCCAAAGTGGGGCAGCCTCGTGGCATACGGAAAAGCAACCAACCTATCACGTTGCAGCAACCTAAACCTTGCATGCAACGCTGAAGCTATCTGCACCCAAATATCAAGATCAGTGAATTGAATGAACTGGAATACAAGCAAGGAACACCACACACAGGACTCCAGGTCAAAGGTGACATTGGCCCAACAGGCAGCATGACGAAGGCAAAAATGGTGACCGTCACCCTGAGACAAGGGCAAACAGCAACCTTCAAACTCGCACACATGGTGAGGTGGAACTCAGAAGACCCATCCATAGGTCTAATGAGCCCAAATTGGGTTTTCCAGGACCCACAGACTGACTGCTGAGGAAAGCCCAGGCAAGGAACTGCTAACTGGTTATCCCAGAATTACCAATCAAACAAACAATAGCTGAACCCCTGTGATGGTGTACAATAATGGGGGGAAGGGAGCTTGGCGGAGGGCCACCAAAATAATATAAGTGGTCCTGTAGCCACACCAGGCAGACCCTCACCAGGCAAACAAAACAAATGAAAAAGAAAATCCCCACAAAAGTACAACATCTCTAGGAGGAACAGAACCAGCCACTATGCATATTATAAGACAGCTGCACAGTACCTTGCACTCCTGCCAGCGATGATACTATCTCCTATCCAAGGTCAAGCAGTGGCAAGAAAGCCCCAGCCGACCCCAAGGGTGGGCAATCTCCAAGCAGCAAAAGAACCCTAAAGAGGTAGATCCCGAACAGTTTGTGGAAGGTAACCCAAAAGGGGCAATACTTACAGGGCACCTAGGGAAGGTGACTCTAGACGCATGCAGCCCCAATACTTCTTGAATTACACCTGGCTCACACATAACCACACCACAACACAACACAAGGCACAGCACTACTCAAAGATTGGAGCCAGAGTTGAATGCCTGCAACTCAACACATCAACCTCAGAACTGGGGTTGGAAAGCCAGTGCGGGGGGTTTGGGGCTCCCCCTTCCCCCTCCCGGGGAAGGGGGAGCTGCGTAGATAGCAGCGCGGCAGCGATGGTGACATCATGCTTATTTTAGGTTTGGGGAGTTCTACTTGCTAGTTCGGCTTTCGGTCACAATTTTTAACCAGCTGTAGTTTGTTTTGGGATGCCTACCTTTCTGGGTGTCTAACCCAGTAGATGGCAGACATAAAATGCTTCCAACCACATGGGGGTTTCTATAGGCCATTGCTCCTCGTGCCTCTCCGAGGGGGCCAGGTTCTGGCTCGTGGTCCCCAGTAGGCTAAGAACTTCAATCGAATTGACTGATGCCACAGTCTAATACAGTATATGCATATCAGCCCGGTATAGCTACAGGGAGCCGGAGGGACTCTCCACAGAAACTTGTAATAAATATAGCAAAATATTTTTTAAGACAATATATACCTTTCTTTGTCTAAGTCTCTCTGTGTGGGCAGCCAGCAATTGATGTTCTCTTCTCACTGCATCAACTTGAGCTAACAAACTCTGGAAGCGTTGCGTTGCTTCCAGCTCCTCTCGTATGAGATCCTTGTGCAGCTCCTTGAGTTTATCTTGCAGTTCTGCATATCTAATTCAGGTGAAAGGCAATCAATTATTATTATGTAATTCCGTCTGATTATCAAAATCAATCTAATTTTAACTAATTGAAAGCAGTAAATGTACCAAGTCTTACAAGGCTAATACAAATTTGTTCACTCACATCAGTGTGACGTATAGGGTACGAGGCAAAATTCATACCAAGATTATATCAAGAAACCTGGAGTTACCTTTTTTCCCTTTTATGCGTCTTCATCAGGATTTGTTTTTCAAGTTGAAGGCGATGGATCTCCCTGCGTGAGAAGTCACTACTGTACAACATTACAAGAGTATTTGAATAAAACAAAAACTAACCTCTGGCCTAACTAACATCATCTGTGCTATAAGAGAGAATGTGTCAGTCTGTGTCTGTTTGTCTGTCCAAAGCTGGAGGCCAGATACTTAGGCCTAGCCTCCTCCAAATTTGCAGGAGAAGGAAGGGTAGGGGGGTAAAGGTCTAGGGTATGCAACAAATATAGGCTCATCAGGGTAAACTTAAGTTTAATGCTTTAAAAAATATTAGTAATTATGAAGATCCACAGGCTATTTTCATGGAGGCAAGTGTAAAATATGTCTTATGATTTCTGCCTAGGTATTAATAACAAGAAAATGAAAAGAAAAAAAACAGAAAATGCATCAGAGACCCATACAGTTGTTTCAATACGTCTTCAGGAGGACAAGCGGAGGTAGGTCTAGGAGGAGATGGGATGAAGAGCAGGGAGAAGAGGTAGAAAGGATGGAAAGAGGGGGGTGGAGGGTAGAGAGAAGGGGTAAGATGGGGATGATAAGAGGGGATTGAGAAAGGGGAGCAAAGAGGGGAAATGGAAGAGGGAAGAGAAGAAAGGAGATGGGGGGAAAGGTGGAGGGAAGAGGGAGAAGGAAAAAGAAGAAGGGTGGAATGAAAGGTTGGGAGAAGAGATCGACTATCCAGGCACCACTGGATACTCCTCCTAGTGCGTGTGTGCTTGTGTATCAGGGAGTGTGTGTATGTGTATACATACACACACACACACACACTTTTGTGAGACCAAATTGTAATATACAACAGTTGTATAGTGCCTGTATCTCAAGAAGCACACCAATAAACTGGAAAAGGTGCAAAGTCTACAAAATGGCTTCCAGAACTGAAAAACAAGAGTTATGAGGAGAAGACAAAGGTGTTAAATATGCCAAAGCTAGAAGATAGAAGAAAAAAAAAAAGAGAGATGATACGATCACCACTTACAAAATATTGGGAATCGACCAAAGTGACAATGAGAAATTCCTGAAACCTGCAGCCTCAAGAACAGGAGGTCACAGATCAACCTGTCCTCTTACAAATTACATCTGAATTTGGCTGATTGCCAGTATGACCGAAAATGGACGTAATTTGAAAATGACAAAAATTGAAAATAAATTTTCATACACCACTGTCTGATACACTCAAAACTGTCTCATACACCAGACCACTTCCCCTGCAAATTTGGGTAAGGCTAGCCCCAAGCATCAGGCCTCCAACCTTAGACTTACATTCTCTCTTATAGTATAGATGTATCAAATACATTAAAAGAATCAAACACTTCAATGCTAAATTTTATATTTGCATCTATGGTATTCAATTCAGATGAAACATTAAAAAATATATATGTGGTATACAATAGTAGTGTACACCAATATTTAATAGCTTTTTGCAATAAAATCCAAGTTTTAAATATTTAGCAAGTTATAAGAAAAATTAATCATACGTACCTTTCTCTCACAGCCTTTTGAATTTCAGATACCTGACGATAATATTCTCTCATGTCACCCATTTTTTTTGCATCATCTCAAGTGACCATAACAGGAAGCTGTCAACGAAGTACAGTATATACAGTACTGTACATATATCTATACACAGGTATATAAATACATTTAAATATACATTAGAAAGCTTCTCTCACTACAATTTATTGTGCAATATGAATAAAATCAACATAATACTGTATTTCACTAAAAGCAAAAGTGAACAGAATTTTACAATAATAAATTAATGTACATTATAAAGACATAATCTTATTTTTATTCTACAAAAATTAAAAAAGCCTTTAATATACATTATGAAGTGTATAAAATGACAGTATAATACCACAATACGGTATTGTGGCAGTTCCGGGGATCCACGTCACCACGGCCTGATCTCTGATCAGGCCTTCTGGTTGGTCGTCTGGTCAATCAGGCTGTTGGACGTGGCTGCTCGCAGCCTGACGTATGAATCACAGCCTGGTCGATCAGGAAACCTCTGGAGGTGTTTATCAAGTTCTCTCTTGAGCACCATGAGAGGCCAGCCCGTTATGCCCCGTATGTGTAGTGAGAGAGTGGTTAGTACTTTGCCCAACTGTGATTTGATCAATCATACTGTTTTATACAGTAAGGTACTGTACACTTGGTGGCTATTACCGTACTGCTAGAACCTGTTAGGTTACCTGACTGATTATCCATTCAATTAGGGACCAAACCCAACAGTAATTAACCTGGCTGATTGAGCAATGCATACATCATTCACTACATGAATGTTGTTTAGGATAGCAAAAAACAAAAATATATTGTGAATAACATAAAAATTTATATTAACACAGCAGCTGTGAGTCCATGCTAGTTTGAAAAAGACCCCCCACTAAATAGTTACTGTACCTGGGAGTTAGACAACTATTCTGAGTTAAATCCTGGAGAAGCTTGTCATTGGCATAGAGGGACCTTGTTAAGCCTAATGTGCTTCCTGTTCCTGATAACAGCTAGTCGCACTCGTGGCCAGACAACTGTCACGCTCGTGGCTGGACAACTGTCACGCTGGTGACCAGACAACTGTCACGCTGGTGACCAGACAACTGTCACGCTGGTGACCAGACAACTGTCACACTCGTGACCAGACAATTGTCACGCTGGTGGCCGGACAACTGTCACGCTGGTGGCCGGACAACTGTCACGCTGGTGGCCGGACAACTGTCACGCTGGTGGCCGGACAACTGTCACGCTGGTGGCCGGACAACTGTCACGCTGGTGACCAGACAACTGTCACGCTGGTGACCAGACAACTGTCACGCTCGTGACCAGACAATTGTCACGCTGGTGGCCGGACAACTGTCACGCTGGTGGCCGGACAACTGTCACGCTGGTGACCAGACAACTGTCACGCTGGTGACCAGACAACTGTCACGCTGGTGACCAGACAACTGTCACGCTGGTGGCCGGACAACTGTCACGCTGGTGACCAGACAACTGTCACGCTGGTGACCAGACAACTGTCACGCTGGTGACCAGACAACTGTCACGCTGGTGGCCGGACAAAAATCACACTCGTGGCCAGTCGCTAAAGTTTTGTTTACATTGATGGGTGGATGCGTTACCATGGTAACCAGATTCCTGAGTTGGATAAACAACAAGTTTTCATAGTTAATTACAATGCCATGAAAACTGAATTTAATTATGCATTAAATTTTGTATTTATTTATGAATGTGTTACATACATGTTAAGAGGGTGATTAGGCCTACAAGTGTTATTAATTATTTTACTAAAACAATCTTGGCAATTTAAACCAAGCAACATTACAATAATATTGTTTTCTTCATAATTATAATGAAAACTTCGATTTTATTCCATAGGTTAACGATACGAACATCAATAACAAAATATCATTTGTAATTTAAGGATCATAAATGTATACAAAAAAAATATGCGCAATATCACAACATTATTTATTAACACAGCTCCTTATTGATTTCATAATTTCTTAATTTATTCATCGATTAATACAGTAGAGAGATGTATGGGTGTGGTGGAGAGGGAGGTGACCCCAGGCGAGGTACCAGGTGTGGGCCCGTAGTCCGCCGCCATCACCAGCCAACAACATCATGGGGCCCGAGATGCTGCAGAAGAAACTCGAGGAGGAGATAGAAGCCTTCAAGAAACTCCAGAAAGGTAGTAGAGCTGTGTTCTGTGTGGTAGTACTGGCCACCAGGGTACGTTATTGTGGCATTAGGAGGCTGTGTGTGTGTGTGGGTGACTGGCAGTCAATTGTACACAATCGTATCAAATTTCGATTTATAATTGTTTAATACTCGTATGTAATAATATTATTTCACTTTATGGGGACAGGAAGCCAAGGTGTATTCATTAGGCTTTTATCGACGTCTCCTCCCTCAAAGGGCCGAATTACAGACCTGGCCCAGGATGCAACCCCATAACAAGCTAATTCATCGCTAGGTGAACAGAGGCATTAGGTGAAAGGAAATGTGCCCAAGCATTTCTATCCCGTTCGGGATTCGAACCTGGAATTCTCGATTGTGGGGTCGAAAACGAACCCGACTGTCGTACCTGAACCTTTAATGTTCAGGTACGACACCTGAACCTTTAATGTTATTTGTGTATCATTAGGGTGGGTTTAATTACGTCCAGTTGTGTTAAGAGTGGATTAGATTGGGTTTTATTCTCCGTTGGTCAATCGCCCAGTATGAAGTTATTCATACACAAAATACAGTATTTTGTATTTCGATTAATAATTTTAATTTTTTTATATACAATATCTATCATTGTGTACAATAATTCTACTCTTGCTATTGATTCTATTGTCACCAATTATCATGACAGTTGAGCCCCTTAATAATTGTTAATTTAATCGCATACCATTACAAATTTGTATTTTGGGTGATTATTAAGAGAGGTTTGCGTAGGAAAGGGTCTCCCTTGAGACAGGCAATAGAGGTAATGATTACAGGCAGCATGAAAATATTGTCTTGAAACTACTGTACTAATATAGATAATTGATTTTTTTGGTATTTGCCTTTAAATTGATTTAAAATCGCGGCTCCTATGGATTTTCTCACTGATGCAGTCATGTTAATGTGATTACTCTGTGCATAATGCAAGTATTGGTGAATAAAAACTATACTGTATTTAAAATCAAAAACTCTTAAATGTAATGTAAAAACAAGAGCATCTCGCTTGCCTTGCTTGCATTGTTTATTTTTGGGGGAGTAAAATACTTCATTGTTAATGATCATAAAATTATCATAATTTAAACAGTTAGAATTATTACCAGAGGTGAAGAATTCATTTTGTTAATAAATGTTAAAGAATTGTTTCAAGAACTGGAAATCATGATAAATTTCTCTAGATTCTCAACCTGATTTGGATTACTGAAAGATACTCAATTCTTTTGATTCTCTATACCAATTCTGATTAATCGTCTTATTGTGACTTTATTTATCAATGGACATATGACCCTGCACCTTTCCCTAACAAAACTGTACAATTAATATTGATCTATCTTTCCAGACTTGTCTAAAACGACTAATTTAAGGTCACAGCTTGATGGACAACTAAACGAAAACAAAGTAGTTAAAGAGGTGAGAGAAAACTTGAGTAAGATTCATTGATTGGCTGGTTAAGACGTTACTAGTGGTGTTATATTAAGTTTTAAGACATGCTCGTTGTGTACATTAAGTAGACAGGTTGGTGATTGGTAACCAGGCAATATTATAGATTGATCAATAAATCTCTGAAAGGTTAAATTTACAATTGGCATTCACTGTAGTTTTCATTACTGTGATTAGCAGTTCATGTAAATGGTTAAAATGTTATTAGAGATTTGATTTTATTTCACAATATAGTTTCATATAAATGTACAGTAGTATGTAAAATTTGGGAGCCATTACAAATTCTGTTTTAGGCAAGTTTTAAGTTGACAAATCCAAAAATAATTTACATTACTGTAATTGGTTGAATTTGTATACTTGGTATGTGACTTATTGATGTATGCAGTTATAAAAATGAAATTAATGAAATATACAAATATAGGAGAGGTTGTATGGTTTACACCTCATACATATTTAGCTCTGTGGAGGTATTTGTTTTGAACAAGTTGGTTTGGCCTATGCAGTACAATATTCCATTTTGGCCTTGGCTACAATGCCACTATATTAGATCACCGTTAGAAATTGAATAGAATGCACAGAATTAAGCCTTCGGGGAGTTAACCTGTAGACACCTGTGCATTACATTTGACCCTATTCCTAATGTTAGATAACAGCAATTCAAATTAAATCTTTAATAGAGAGTATGGTACATAAAATAAAAGGTACAAAATCTTTTTATGTTTAAATCTTACATTTTGCAATATAATTTTACGATTTGCAACTTGACTCGACTGGGAACATAAGCCTATTTTTCCCATGTTACTTGTATGTTGTTCATTTTTTTTATAACATGCTGCTGCCTAGACACCTAACTGCAATGTTGTGTATGGGTTGCCTGCTTCACTTAATAATTTTTATTTTAACATTTAAGAATCTTATTGTCTCAATATACTAAGAAAAATACAGAAAAGTCAATGAAATTCTAAATTCTAAAGGTTTTATTTCATTTTGCTGCTTTACACAACTCCAGTGATATACTGTGTGGCATATAATATTTTGTGCTCTCATTCTTGTAATTTTACCAGATAATGTGTTTAATGATGTTCATTTTATTTTTAATTTAAAGGTACTGTACTCTAAATACATATTGATGTTATTTAATTGTGACTTTTCTTGCAGGAATTGGATTTGATAGGCGATGAAAGTGTGGTGTACAAGTTAATTGGACCGGCACTCATTCGTCAGGACTTGGAAGAAGCTCGGCAAAATGTTAATAAGAGAGTTGATTACATTACACAAGAAATGTAAATATTTTATATGTACAGTACTAAACTTTATTAAAAAATCAGTATACCGATAACTTTATTTAGCTTTATTCATTAAATAAATTATAATCAGAATTCACAATGAATGTATTATATACAATATACAAAAGACAATGAGAGGTCCAGAAAATATTATTCAAGAATTGCTTGTCTATTTAAGAATTTAGCTTATATTTTTTATCAACCATTTCTGGGACATTTCATCAGTAACTTTCTGGGATTAAGCACTTGTACTGGCAGGAAATCATGAGGCCTCTTAATCCCACCCTAGTCTATAAGTCACTGCCAGAATTAGGCTTTCTGTAAGGTGAGGGAGGGAATTATCAGGGAAAGCACTAAGGCATTATGACTATATAGCACTTGGAAGGGATCAGGATATGCATTTGGGATGGGGTGGGGAGGAAAGGGCTCCCTCTCCCAGGTGAGGGGAAGCTTAGAGATCAAGAGATAAACAAAACCAAAGATCGCCCATTAGAAAGAATAGACAACTGTGATTTTCTCGGTTTTGGATTCTCTGATCCTCGAGCTTCCATTGCCTAGTAGAAAAATTGAGATTCTAAGCCTGGTTTCTGTTTGGTAAAAGGGGTCTCTTGCTATATCCTAAAACATGATAGGACCAACCCTTGAGCTACCATGGCCACCAGAAAAGGACACTTCTTTATATTCAACCATTGATTTTTTTTTTATTCAAAATATTTTATTCCTAGGAGCCCTGCATTTTTTAATTTATTGCTTGTAATACATGCTGACCAATTGTTTTTTCAGTAAACGTCACGAGAATACAATGGAGAAATTAGACAAGGATTCCGATTCCAAACGAGACAGCATTGGTAAGCTCCAGCAGCAGATGCAACAGATGATGATGAAACAAATGGGGAAATGAAATGAAGGTTAAACTTGAATATTATTTTTTTTTTTTTTTTTAATAAAATTGCTTTTGCACCTGTCACCTGTGTAATACTAGAACCTAGCTTTATGAACCAAATATTATTGATAATAATTTTGTGATACCTTTGCTTCCAAAAGCAGGTTGGTGTTATTTTCATCCTGTGTATGGAAAACCAGTGCCATTTTGTTTACAATTAACAAAATTGTGCAAAAAGTTGCCTTTAATATTTTGATGCAAGTACTGTACTGTATTGGCATTTTAATACATTTAAAAGTCCTACAATCTACAAGACATAATTATGTATCCCATGTAAAGTCTGATGTTTACAAAAACATTTACAGTTTGGATCACTATGGCTTTGTTTTGTTTACCTTGATGCTGTCCAGCAATAATGAATATTTTGATTTGTCAAAGGTCTTATTAATATCCTCTATGAAAAAGATATATGGATTGGATTTTATTAATCCAAAAACAGTTTTCCAGTGCTATCTCGGCAAATGGGAGAAGCCATGTGTGTTGGACTTGTTTTCCTCTGACTTTGGTCATAGTTTTTCTTGCGTATTTCATCCTCTAATCATAACTCGATGAAGTGTCATTATTGGAGGGCAACCCGTTCTCGCAAATTCATAGTCAATATTGACTTATTACCTACGTGCATAGGTGATATACTAAACATAATAGATACCCTTAAAAAGATTCATAGAAAACACCGACCTTACCTAACCTTGTTAGTATCTTAAGATAAGCATCTTATTGCTTAGTAATTACAATTATTACTTAACCTATACCTATTATAGGTTAGGTAATAATTGTAATTACGAAGCAATAAGATGCTTATTTTAACATACTAAGTAGGTTAGGTAAGGTCGGTGTTTTCTATGAATCTTTTTAAGGGTAAGTATGTCACCTATGCACATATTTAATAAGTCAATATTGACTTATTAAATTTGCGAGAACGGGTTGTGGAGGGATACTTGAAATAAGTAATTATATTTACTGGTTTAGACTACCTAAAGTAAGCAGAATATCTTCACTCGTCCCATCTTTGGTTTGGGGTGGGTGTATGCAAATGCAAAGTAACTTTGTACACTTCACTTAATATACTTAAAATGATTTAAAGTGTCTTCAAATATTTGTTTAGTATTTTGCATGAAGATGAGGTTAATCACAGAAGTTAAGTACAGAGTAATCACAATTTGCTTACACAAAGTAATGTGTGAATTAAATGATTGGGTTCAGGAAGTGCACATAAGTGATACAAATAAAGGGTAGGAATGTAAAAATATTGATAGGTGTAAGAGAAAAAGTTTAGTGTGTATGGAATGGTAATGTGGCAAGGAGAACATTAATTGGGTGACAAGGAGACTTCTTGATTGCCTTTGTTACCCAAGGAAGCAGTAAACTGGTTTTGTTTACTGAAATATTAATTTACAAAAAACAATACATTTGTGAGAAAGAACCATAATTTGTATTTTTTATAGTGTGGATAAGTTTCATGGGTAACCACATAAATATTTATATATTAAACAAGGTTTACTGAATGGAATGTTAAATAGATTTATAGTGCAGTGCCAACAAAAGATAAGCTTATGCAGTCATGCATTGAGAACTATGTGGCAAACCTGATTTGTGAATAATGGTCTTGACATTTACTACTGTTACTAGGTGTCCTCAAGTGACAAGGTAATAGCTGCCATGTTTACCATCATCTGAAGCCTATTCAGAAGAGAACAAATGCCTTGGAGAAAAGCGCACACAATGCATTTAGAGAGGATTTTTGGGTCCCGTCCAGTACCATTTTCATGTTCTTTTGTCTTGCCACCCCTCTTCCTTATGTGTTTTGTTGTGTTTTTGTTTGATATTTAAAGGTAACAAGTTGTACATTGATTAATACAACGAGTGCTTAAAAGTTATGGATCTCTTGGACCTCTGCTTCAGGACAGGAACCGAGGATGCAGCAGACGTTTTCCCTCTGGATCACCACACTGAGGTGCTGAAGCGGCAAACTGGCAGCTCTTGGGGTCTGGTGATGTTAATAAGCTTGGAACTCAATTCTTTGAGAAAGCCCAAGGCACTTACCCCAGGGGTTGATCATCTCAGATGCTATGGGAACAAAGGTGTATTGACATTCCAGTTGCCTGATTTTACTGATTTTGCCGTTTCCCTGGTTGGCAGCACCACCTGCTTGATCAGCACCGAAGTGTATGTGAGTGTCAGTGAGGGTGAATCCACATGCGTAGTCCCACACCATGTTTGGCCTTTTTCCAAGTACCTGGGCTTCACAGAACCCCTAGAAGATTCACTTGCATCCCAGGTTGCAATGCCTTTGACCATGTAATGGTGTAGTAGGCTTAGGAGTACCAAGTGTGTTGGTTCAAAACACCATGTTCATGTGATTTCATTGTGCATTTGAAGAGAAGCGTTGGTGATAGAACTAATGGACCACAGCTAGAGTGCATCGGGGGCATTGTGTGAAACCCTGATTGGGCTTCATTGGAAGCCTCAGGATCCCTAGAGTATTCAGTTGAATCCTAAATTGCAATGCTTTTGACCACGTCATGATGTAGTTGTCTAGGACGTGCACTTGAGAGTACCAAGTGTACGAGTTCGAAGCCTTCTCATGGCTCCTACTGATTTTCTTTTCTCCCCACAGGCCAAACTATCAGTTTCAAAGCATAATTTGACAGGGTAATGGAAGATGGAATAGCACAAGTGTATTTCTCTCCTCTTGTAACTACACTTAAATAATTATCAGGGAGGAGGTAATCACTTCAAAACCACTATGTAATTAGTATTATTATCTACTCCCTATCCATGGTTAGGTTAGGTTATGATTTGATTAAGTTATGCATTTCCTCGTAGCTTATACCTCTCGGTTCTGGAACTAGTCTGGTTGCATACCTCTGAATCTTCTCTAACTTTGTCTTGTGTTTAACTACGTATGGACTTCAGGCTGGAGCTGCATACTCCAGGATTGGTCTGACATAAGTGGTATACAAGGTCCTGAATGATTCCTTACACAAGTTTCTAAAAGCAGTTCTTATGTTAGCCAGTCTAGCATATTCCACTGATAATATCCTTTTGATGTGGGCTTCTGAAGACAGGTTCGGTGTGATATCAACCCCAAGATCTTTCTCTATTTGACTCTTGCAGGATGTCACCTCTCAGATGGTACCTTGTGTTCAACCTTCTGCTCCCTTTGCCTAATTTCATTACTTTACATTTTCCTGAGTTGAACTCTAGTAGCCATTTTCTAGACCATTCCTCCAGTTTGTCCAGGTCGTCCTGTAGTCTGTCTTCATCTGTCTTGATTCTATTCATAATTTTTGCATTATCAGCAAACATTGAGAGGACTGAGTCTATACCCTCTGAAAGATTCTTTACATATATTAGAAACAGGATGGGTCCAAGTACAGAGTTCTGTGGGACTCCGCTGGTGACATCTCACCACGCTGATGTTTCCCCCTCCCCCCCCCTCACAGTTACTTGCTGTTTACTGTTGCTTAGATACTCCCTTATCCACTGAGTACCTTACCTTTTACTCCTGCCTGTTGCTCCAACTTTTGTAACAGCATTTTATGGGGTACTGTGTCAAAGGCTTTCTGAAAGTCCAAGAAAATACAGTCTGCCCACCTTTCTCTTTCTTGCCTAATTTTTGTTGATTGATCACAGAATTCTATTAAGCTAGTGAGGCACAATTGGCCATCTCTGAACCCATGCTGGTGGTGTGTTACAAAGCTATTTCCCTCCAGATGTTCTACGAGCCTTTTCCTCACGATCTTCTCCATCACCTTGTATGGTATACAAGTTAGGGAAACTGGCCTATAGTTCAGTGCTTCTTGCCTGTCCCTTTTTTTGTATATTGTGACTACATTAGCTGTCTTCCAGCTTTCCAGTAGGTCTCCTGTTTCCAGTGACCTGTTATACACCATAAAGAGTGGCACACTTAGTGCTTCTGCACCCTCTTTTAGTATCCATGGTGAGATTCTGTCAGGCCCAACAGCCTTTGTCACATTCAGTTCCAACAGATTCCTTTTGACCTCATCCCTGGTGAACTCAAATTCCTCCAAGGTTGCTTGGTTTGCCTTCTCATTTAGTGCAGGGGCTTCTCCTTGTTCTATTGTGAAGACGACCTAAAATCTCTTGTTGAGTTCTTTACACACCTCATTATCATTATCTGTGTATCTGTTCTCCCCTTTTCTCAGTTTCATCACCTGTTCCTTGTGTGTGTGTGTGTGTGTGTTAGAGAGAAATATATGTAGTAATCATAATAGAGGGAAAAATAGATTGGTTAGAAGGGCGGGGTCCAAGAGCTAATAGCTCAATTCTGCAGACACAAATAGTAAATACACACACATTCACAATCGAACAACCCGAGCATGAGCAGAAAACGATTTAGGCAGCGCTTCCTTTCACCAGATGCCTCTATTCACCAAGCAGTAAATAGGTATCCAAGAGAAATATCAATGGTGACTCCGGTCACAATGGGAACCCCAAAAGTACACCACCAACAATAATATGTGAAAATCAAAATTAAACAAAAAATAAACTTTAAATGCACCGCCATGTTGCCGTCTGGTGGTTATATTTTGTTATTCTCCAGGTGCAGGGAAAGATTTGGGGCCAGATTCACGAAGCAGTTACGCAAGTACTTACGAACGTGTACATCTTTCCTCAATCTTTGACGGCTTTGGTTACATATATTAAACAGTTTACAAGCATTACAACTTCAGAATCAACTGTTGTTATTTTTATAAACAGCCTCCTGGTGCTTCGGAGCTCATTAACTGTTTAATAATTGTAAACAGAGTCGCCAAAGTTTGTGAAAAGATGTTCAGGTTCGTAAGTGCTTGCGTAACTGCTTCGTGAATCTGGCCCTTGGGCACCTTTGAATGTGCATTTTGCTTGTTTCTAAACCTTTTTTTTGTTAGTCTATGAAAATTTATGTTAATGAAAATAAGCATTGCGTGCTTGTTTTTTTCCTTTATTTGTTCTAAGAATTTGTTAATGGTTTATGCTGTAAATTTACATGCCTGTATTATTATTATATCGAGTAAAATATTTTCAGTAATTGTTTTTAAGCTGGGGACGATATTTGGTAATTTGAAATTAAAAAAAATTAGCAGTCTCCGTGGTGTAGTGGTAAGACACTCGCCTGGCGTTCCGCGAGCGCTATGTCATGGGTTCGTATCCTGGCCGGGGAGGATTTACTGGGCGCAAATCCTTAACTGTAGCCTCTGTTTAACGCAACAGTAAAATGTGTACTTGGATGAAAAAACGATTCTTCGCGGCAGGGGGTCGTATTCCAGGGACCATAGGATTAAGGACCTGCCCGAAACGCTACGCGTACTAGTGGCTGTACAAGAATGTAACAACTCTTGTATATATCTCAAAAAAAAAAAAAAAAATAAAT